ATCACCGAGAATCTTGTATGTAGTAATCATATGCATTTATTCTTTCAGCGGTTTTTAAGTGCAATTCAAGTCTTCGCTCTTCTGATAATTTAGTGGTGAGACTGATCTTGTGGTGTTTGTCCTCTCCTTTATTCATTTTCCTCCCTTCTCTGTTCCTTCTCTCTCTCTCTCTCTTCTTCTCATCCTCACTCCTTATTTTTCTCTGCCCGAGCCGGTCTCTCCCGTCTCCTCTTCCCCTTGTCGTTTTTCATTACCATCCTCCCTCTCTCCCTCCCTCTCCCCCTCTCTCCCTCCCTCTCCCCCTCTCTCCCTCCCTCTCTCCCTCCCTCCCTCTCCCCCTCCCTCTCTCCCTCCCTCCCTCCCTCCCTCCCTCCCTCCCTCCCTCCCTCCCTCCCTCCCTCCCTCCCTCTCTCTCTCCCTCCCTCCCTCTCTCCCTCCCTCCCTCTCTCCCTCTCCGCGAACATCGTCATCGTGCTCTCATCAACAAGCTCCAACACCAATAACACCACCTTTAAAGGGGTTTCCCACGGCATTACCCCTTCCCATTACCCCTGACCCCTCAGAGCAGCACGTGACTTACCCCTGCAGGCCGCCAGGGGGCGTGTGGCCCCTGGGGGGGGGGAGGGTGTTTGATCACACACCAACCTTACACCTCTCAAACGGTGGTGTGCTGAGAGCAGTGTTTTGATACGTCTCCCTGTGTGTGTGTGCGTGTGTGTGTGTGTGTGTGTGTGTGTGTGTGTGTGTGTGTGTGTGTGTGTGTGTGTGTGTGTGTGTGTGTGTGTGTGTGTGTGTGTGTGTGTGTGTGTGTGTGTGTGTGTGTGTGTGTGTACTCACCTAGTTGTACTCACCTAGTTGTGCTTGCGGGGGTTGAGCTCTGGCTCTTTCGTCCCGCCTCTCAACCGTCAATCAACAGGTGTACAGGTTCCTGAGCCTATTGGGCTCTATCATATCTACACTTGAAACTGTGTATGGAGTCAGCCTCCACCACATTGCTTCCTAATGCATTCCATTTGTCAACCACTCTGACACTAAAAAAGTTCTTTCTAATATCTCTGTGGCTCATTTGGGCACTCAGTTTCCACCTGTGTCCCCTAGTGCGTGTGCCCCTTGTGTTAAATAGCCTGTCTTTATCAACCCTGTCAATTCCCTTGAGGATCTTGAATGTGGTGATCATGTCCCCCCTAACTCTTCTGTCTTCCAACGAAGTGAGGTTCAATTCCCGTAGTCTCTCCTCGTAGCTCATACCTCTCAGCTCGGGTACTAGTCTGGTGGCAAACCTTTGAACCTTTTCCAGTTTAGTCTTATGCTTGACTAGATATGGACTCCATGCTGGAGCCGCATACTCCAGGATTGGTCTGACATATGTGGTATATAATGTTCTGAAAGATTCCTTACACAAGTTTCTAAAGACCGTTCTTATGTTAGCCAACCTGGCATATGCTGCTGATGTTATCCTCTTGATATGAGCTTCAGGGGACAGGTCTGGCGTGATATCAACCCCCAGGTCTTTCTCTCTCTCTGACTCTTAAAGTATTTCATCTCCCAAGTGATACCTTGTATCTGGTCTCCTGCTTCCTACCCCTATCTTCATTACATTACATTTGCTTGGGTTAAACTCTAACATCCATTTGTTCGACCATTCCTGCAGCTTGTCCAGGTCTTCTTGAAGCCTCAAGCTGTCCTCCTCTGTCTTAATCCTTCTCATAATTTTGGCGTCGTCAGCAAACATTGAGAGGAATGAGTCTATACCCTCTGGGAGATCATTTACGTATATCAGAAACAGGATAGGTCCAAGCACAGAGCCCTGTGGGACTCCACTGGTGACTTCACGCCATTCTGAGGTCTCACCCCTCACTATAACTCTCTGCTTCCTATTGCTTAGGTACTCCCTTATCCACTGGAGCGCCCTACCAGTTACTCCTGCCTGTTTCTCCAGCTTATGCATCAACCTTTTATGGGGTACTGTGTCAAAGGCTTTCCGACAGTCCAAAAAAATGCAGTCCGCCCATCCTTCTCTTTCTTGCTTAATCTTTGTCACCTGATCATAGAATTCTATCAAGCCTGTAAGGCAAGATTTACCCTCCCTGAACCCATGTTGATGGGTTGTCACGAAGTCTCTTCTTTCCAGATGTGTTACTAGGTTTTTTCTCACAATCTTCTCCATCACCTTGCATGGTATACAAGTTAAGGACACTGGCCTGTAGTTCAGTGCCTCTTGTCTGTCACCCTTTTTAAATATTGGTACTTCATTAACAGTCTTCCATACTTCTGGTAGGTCTCCCGTTTTCAGTGACCTACTATACACTATGGAGAGTGGCAAGCAAAGTGCTCCTGCACACTCTTTCAATACCCATGGTGAGATTCCATCCGGCGAAACAGCTTTTCTCACATCCAGCTCCAATAGGTGCTTCTTGACCTCATCTCTTGTAATTTCGAACCTTTCCAAGGTCACATGGTTTGCTGCCACCTCTCCTATCGCCGTGACTTCTCCCTGTTCTATTGTAAAGACCTCCTGGAACCTTTTGTTGAGTTCTTCACACACCTCTTTGTCATTCTCTGTGTACCTGTCCTCGCCCACCCTAAGTTTTATCACCTGTTCCTTCACTGTTGTCTTCCTCCTGATGTGACTGTGTAGTAGCTTTGGTTCGGTCTTGGCTTTATTAGCTATATCATTTTCATACCTTTTCTCAGCTGCTCTTCTCACACTAACATACTCGTTCCTGGTTCTCTGGTATCTCTCTCTACTTTCTGGTGTTCTGTTATTACGGAAGTTCCTCCATGCCCTTTTGTTCAGCTCCTTTGCTTTCATACATTCCCTATTAAACTACGGATTCTTCCTTTGCTTCTCTGTTTTTTCCTGTTGGGCTGGGACAAACCTGCTTACAGCCTCCTGACATTTTTGGGTGACATAGTCCATCATGTCTTGTACGGACTTGGTTCCGAGTTCTGTGTCTCAATGTATATCCCATAGGAATTTATTCATCTCCATTTTTCCAGCTTCGTCTTGTGCTTGACAAGGTACGGGCTCCATGCTGGGGCCGCATACTCCTGGATTGGTCTTACATATGTGGTATACAAGATTCTGAATGATTCCTTACACAGGTTCCTGAAGGCTGTTCTGATGTTCAACTCCTAGATCTTTCTCTCTGTCCGTTTCATTAAGTACTTCATCTCCTATTCTGTATCCTGTGTCTGGCCTCCTGTTTCCACTGCCTAGTTTCATTACTTTGCATTTACTCGGTTTGAACTTCAACAGCCATTTGTTGGACCATTCACTCAGTCTGTCTAGGTCATCCTGTAGCCTCCTACTATCATCCTCTGTTTCAATCCTCCTCATAAGTTTTGCATCATCAGCAAACATTGAGAGAAACGAGTTTATACTCTCTGGGAGATCATTTACATATACCAGAAACAGTATAGGTCCAAGGACTAACCCCTGCGGGACTCCACTTGTAACGTCTCGCCAATCTGAGACCTCACCCCTCACACTGACTCGTTGTCTCCTGTTGCTTAGGTACTCCTTCTCTCTTCCTGAAGAGAGATCCTTTTCTCTTTCTGATTCCTGCAGCTGCCTTCCCCCATATGCTGCAGCTGCCCTCCCCTTATGCTGTAGCTGCCTTCCCCTTATGCTGCAGCTGCCTTCCCCTTATGCTGTAGCTGCCTTCCCCATATGCTGCAGCTGCCTTCCCACTTATGCTGCAGCTGCCTTCCCCTTATGCTGTAGCTGCCTTCCCCTTATGCTGTAGCTGCCTTCCCCTTATGCTGTAGCTGCCTTCCCCTTATGATGTAGCTGCCTTCCCCTTATGCTGTAGCTGCCCTCCCCTTATGCTGTAGCAGCCTTCCCCTTATGCTGTAGCAGCCTTCCCCTTATGCTGTAGCTGCCTTCCCCTTATGCTGTAGCTGCCTTCCCCCATTTTCTGCAGCTGCCCTCCCCTTATGCTGTAGCTGCCTTCCCTTTATGCTGTAGCTGCCTTCCCCTTATGCTGTAGCTGCCTTCCCCTTATGCTGTAGCTGCCTTCCCCTTATGCTGTAACTGCCTTCCCCTTATGCTGTAGCTGCCTTCCCCCATATGCTGCAGCTGCCTTCCCCTTATGCTGCAGCTGCCTTCCCCCTTATGTTGTAGCTGCCTTCCCCTTATGCTGTAGCTGCCTTCTCTTTATGCTGTAGCTGCTTTCCCCTTATGCTGTAGCTGCCTTCCCCTTATGCTGTAGCTGCCTTCTCTTTATGCTGTAGCTGCCTTCCCCTTATGCTGTAGCTGCCTTCCCCTTATGCTGTAGCTGCCTTTCCCCTTATGCTGCAGCTGCCTTTCCCCATATGCTGCAACTGCCTTCCCCTTATGCTGTAGCTGCCTTCCCTTATGCTGTAGCTGCCTTTCCCCTTATGCTGCAGCTGCCTTTCCCCATATGCTGCAACTGCCTTCCCCTTATGCTGTAGCTGCCTTCCCCTTATGCTGTAGCTGCCTTCCCCTTATGCTGCAGCTGCCTTCCCCCATATGCTGCAGCTGCCTTCCCTTTATGCTGCAGCTGCCTTCCCCCTTATGTTGTAGCTGCCTTCCCCTTATGCTGTAGCTGCCTTCTCTTTATGCTGTAGCTGCTTTCCCCTTATGCTGCAGCTGCCATCCCCTTATGCTGTAGCTGCCTTCTCTTTATGCTGTAGCTGCCTTCCCCTTATGCTGTAGCTGCCTTCCCCTTATGCTGCAGCTGCCTTCCCCCTGATGCTGCAGCTGCCTTCCCCTTATGCTGCAGCTGCCTTCCCCTTATCCTGCAGCTGCCTCTGGTCTCCTCTCTGTTTTTCCCATCATCATTACCTTACACTTGGTGGTATTGAATTCCAGCAACCATTCGCTTGGCCACTCCTGAAGCTCATCTAGGTCCTTGCACTCACCGGATGATGAACACCGTGCAAATATAGCGTATAGGCGCTCCGACGCTGCTTCCTCCGCGCCGCCCCGGAGCCGGCAGTATCGTCACTACGCCAGCACGACAAGACACGCGTCTTGGACTTTCTTGGGAAAACCTTTGCGTCACGGCCCGGACGCACGTCGGTGTAAGCATCCGGAGGAGCGGGTGTAGCCTGTCAGTCCGTCTCCTTCTCCCGTCTCCTGAGCACTGCTCTAGTTCTGTCCTCGACCGTCGACTGTGGCATACAGTGATCCGTGCAGTCACTCGCAGTGATTCACAGTGATCCACAATAGCCCTCCCCTGGTGGCCTGCTGTCACTTACAGTGACGTATAGTGACTGAGAGAACCTTCAGAGATCAGCTGGGGAATCGCAAGATAAAAAAATTGAAAAGGGACAGTGACACCAACAGTGACACCTGGGTGACGCAAGTGACACCGACAGTGACGTCTGGGTGACACAAGTGACACCGACAGTGACGTCTGGGTGACACAAGTGACACCAACAGTGACACCTGTGTGACGCAAGTGACACCGACAGTGACGTCTGGGTGACACAAGTGACACCAACAGTGACACCTGGGTGACGCAAGTGACACCGACAGTGACGTCTGGGTAACACAGGTGACACCGAGGAAGACAAGAGTGAAGGTGCCACAGGAAGTATGAAGGTGACCCGACCTTTGACCTTCCTCACTCTACTGGTCATTCCTCGCCACACGTCTGCACAAGGTAATGATAATGATGATGCAATTAATACTATACTAATGATTACAATATTAATAAAATATAATGACACGTAATGATAATAATATTGGTAGGATTATTAATGAGATGCAGGTGTGTACGGATGAGGCAGGTGTGTACACATGAGGCAGGTGTGTACTCATGAGGCAGGTGTGTACTCATGAGGCAGGTGTGTACTCATGAGGCAGGTGTGTACTCATAAGGCAGGTCTGTACTCATAAGGCAGGTCTGTACTCATAAGGCAGGTCTGTACTCATGAGGCAGGTCTGTACTCATGAGGCAGGTGTGTACACATGAGGCAGGTGTGTACTCATAAGGTAGGTGTGTACTCATAAGGCAGGTCTGTACTCATAAGGCAGGTCTGTACTCATGAGGCAGGTCTGTACTCATGAGGCAGGTGTGTGTGTATATTAGGCAGCCAATCAGAGCCGTCCTCTTCACACCCTTGGTGAACTGCAGCCAATCAGAGCCCTTGGACTCATACGGCTGAATGTTTGGAAGGAAAATACTTAGGAAGGTGTAATGTAAATATTACTTTGTGACAATGATGGTGACAATAATGATGGTGATGACGACTTTGGCGATGATGAATGTTACGGCCTCTTCAAGCCAGTAGTAACCGGGGGGGGGGGGGCAGATTCACGAAAGCACTTACGAACCTGTACATCTTTTCTCAATCTTTGGCGGCTTTGTTTCCGTTAAACAGTTAAACATTAATCAGTTAATGAGCTCCGCAGCACCAGGAGGCTGTTTGTAACAATAACATCGGACTCCTGGTTCAACCTTGACGCCGAGCGGACGTCTGGACACCTCCTCCGCCTGGCAGCCGCCGGATCACGTCCTGCTTTCGCGTTTTGGCTTTGCTACTGCTGTTTGGCATCCCTCTTCAACGGTCTGATTGTACGACGCCTGGCGCACTTATCGCCTTGGGTCACGGGATTGTTGATAGATTTTTTTTGGCGTGTTCTGGCTGGTTCTCCCGGCGGGGTGACGGTGTTCAGGGGGCGGGCTTGGCCGAGAGGTGCCGGGGGTTGGCGGGTCTTGGTGGGCTCCTGGTGTGCCCTCAGCCGTGGTGGGCGGCCGGCTTCTGCTCTGCCGGGGAACACTGGAGGACTTTTTGCGTTTTAGTTGGGGCCGAGTTTTTGGTTTTGCTACGTGGTGTTCTCTGTGTGGGGCGGGGCCGGTGCTTGTCGCCCTGAGGGACTCCCGGGGCTCCCCAATCATCTGCCTGACTGTGCGTTTATTTGCTGTATGGCATATTAGTTTATAGTGTTTGACGTCACTCGTTTCGCGTTTTGGCTTGGCGTTTCACCTCTCCAGGCTTCGCGATTCACCCTTAACGGGTACGCCGGGGCGCATCCGATCCCACGATCGTCGTCGCCCCTAAATCAACAACAACAACAGTTGAATGGGAAGTTTTCATGTTTGTAAACTGTTTAATAAATGTAACCAAAGCCGTCAAAGACTGAAGAAAGATGTACACGTTCGTAAGTGCTTACGTAAATGCTTTCGTGAATCTGGCCCCGGGTTCTTTATGTCAAACACGGTGTATAGGGCCTTAGTGCCGCCTCTAAGTTGATCCAACCCCTAAGTCATTGGTAAGTTATCGATAACTGGCGGTAACTGACGGTAATAATAAATGGTTAACGAGCAAGACGGTAAACATTCGCACCGGACACTTGATAACACACGCCCTTCAATCTTCTTTTCTCCGGCGAGTCCGCTCTATCTCTTATTATCTTCACGCCGGTGAGTTGACCTTACTCAAACATGGGCCAGTACATCACTGTATCGTCACGGTGTCCCACGACAACACTCTGATAGAACTCCAGCAACACACTGGCACAAGAACTCCAGCAACACGCTGGCACAAGAACTCCAGCAACACACTGGCACAAGAACTCCAGCAACACGCTGGCACAAGAACTCCAGCAACACGCTGGCACAAGAACTCCAGCAACACACTGGCACAAGAACTCCAGCAACACGCTGGCACAAGAACTCCAGCAACACGCTGGCACAAGAACTCCAGCAACACACTGGCACAAGAACTCCAGCAACACGCTGGCACAAGAACTCCAGCAACACGCTGGCACAAGAACTCCAGCAACACGCTGGCACAAGAACTCCAGCAACACACTGGCACAAGAACTCCAGCAACACGCTGGCACAAGAACTCCAGCAACACACTGGCACAAGAACTCCAGCAACACGCTGGCACAAGAACTCCAGCAACACGCTGGCACAAGAACTCCAGCAACACGCTGGCACAAGAACTCCAGCAACACGCTGGCACAAGAACTCCAGCAACACGCTGGCACAAGAACTCCAGCAACACGCTGGCACAAGAACTCCAGCAACACACTGGCACAAGAACTCCAGCAACACGCTGGCACAAGAACTCCAGCAACACGCTGGCACAAGAACTCCAGCAACACGCTGGCACAAGAACTCCAGCAACACACTGGCACAAGAACTCCAGCAACACGCTGGCACAAGAACTCCAGCAACACACTGGCACAAGAACTCCAGCAACACACTGGCACAAGAACTCCAGCAACACGCTGGCACAAGAACTCCAGCAACACGCTGGCACAAGAAATCTACACAGGCTTGCAACAAGCCATAACAGACGGACCGTAGTTCCGTCTCATAACTCAACTTGGCCTATCCCGGGTACGTCGGTACAACCACTAATACTTCACAAGTTCAAGTTCAAGTATGTTTATTGAGATAAGCAAGAAATACATCTCAAAGGGGTAGAGTAGCTTAGGCTATTTCTACCCCCCATACTTCACAAGTATTACAGACAAAGCATTGTCTGTGCCACCTGTACGCGGCGGCTTGTTCCCACTGGAACACGTCTTGAGGTCAGGACCGTCCTGTGTGAACTGACCCCTGCTGGACCGTCCTGTGTGAACTGACCCCTGCTGGACCGTCCTGTGTGAACTGACTCCTGCTGGACCGTCCTGTGTGAACTGACTCCTGCTGGACCGTCCTGGGTGAACTGACTCCTGCTGGACCGTCCTGGGTGAACTGACCCCTGCTGGACCGTCCTGGGTGAACTGACTCCTGCTGGACCGTCCTGGGTGAACTGACCCCTGCTGGACCGTCCTGTGTGAACTGACCCCTGCTGGACCGTCCTGTGTGAACTGACTCCTGCTGGACCGTCCTGTGTGAACTGACTCCTGCTGGACCGTCCTGGGTGAACTGACTCCTGCTGGACCGTCCTGGGTGAACTGACCCCTGCTGGACCGTCCTGGGTGAACTGACTCCTGCTGGACCGTCCTGGGTGAACTGACCCCTGCTGGACCGTCCTGGGTGAACTGACCCCTGCTGGACCGTCCTGGGTGAACTGACTCCTGCTGGACCGTCCTGGGTGAACTGACCCCTGCTGGACCGTCCTGGGTGAACTGACTCCTGCTGGACCGTCCTGGGTGAACTGACTCCTGCTGGACCGTCCTGGGTGAACTGACTCCTGCTGGACCGTCCTGGGTGAACTGACTCCTGCTGGACCGTCCTGGGTAAACTGACCCCTGCTGGACCGTCCTGGGTGAACTGACTCCTGCTGGACCGCCCTGGGTGAACTGACTCCTGCTGGACCGCCCTGGGTGAACTGATTCCTGCTGGACCGTCCTGGGTAAGCTGACTCCTGCTGGACCGTCCTGGGTGAACTGACTCCTGCTGGACCGTCCTGGGTGAACTGACCCCTGCTGGACCGTCCTGGGTGAACTGACTCCTGCTGGACCGTCCTGGGTAAGCTGACTCCTGCTGGACCGTCCTGGGTGAACTGACTCCTGCTGGACCGCCCTGAGTGAACTGATTCCTGCTGGACCGCCCTGAGTGAACTGACCCCTGCTGGACCATCCTGGGTGAACTGACTCCTGCTGGACCGTCCTGGGTAAACTGACCCCTGCTGGACCGTCCTGGGTAAACTGACCCCTGCTGGACCGTCCTGGGTAAACTGACTCCTGCTGGACCGCCCTGGTGAACTGACTCCTGCTGGACCGTCCTGGGTAAGCTGACTCCTGCTGGACCGTCCTGGGTAAACTGACTCCTGCTGGACCGTCCTGGGTAAACTGACCCCTGCTGGACCGCCCTGGGTAACTGACTCCTGCTGGACCGTCCTGGGTAAACTGACCCCTGCTGGACAGTCCTGGGTGAACTGACTCCTGCTGGACCGCCCTGAGTGAACTGATTCCTGCTGGACCGCCCTGAGTGAACTGACCCCTGCTGGACCATCCTGGGTGAACTGACTCCTGCTGGACCGTCCTGGGTAAACTGACCCCTGCTGGACCGTCCTGGGTAAACTGACCCCTGCTGGACCGTCCTGGGTAAACTGACTCCTGCTGGACCGTCCTGGGTAAACTGACTCCTGCTGGACCGTCCTGGGTAAACTGACCCCTGCTGGACCGTCCTGGGTAAACTGACTCCTGCTGGACCGTCCTGGGTAAACTGACCCCTGCTGGACCGTCCTGGATAAACTGACTCCTGCTGGACCGTCCTGGGTGAACTGACTCCTGCTGGACCGTCCTGGGTAAGCTGACTCCTGCTGGACCGTCCTGGGTGAACTGACTCCTGCTGGACCGTCCTGGGTAAACTGACCCCTGCTGGACCGTCCTGGGTAAACTGACCCCTGCTGGACCGTCCTGGGTAAACTGACTCCTGCTGGACCGCCCTGGGTGAACTGACTCCTGCTGGACCGTCCTGGTAAGCTGACTCCTGCTGGACCGTCCTGGGTAAACTGACTCCTGCTGGACCGTCCTGGGTAAACTGACCCCTGCTGGACCGCCCTGGGTAAACTGACTCCTGCTGGACCGTCCTGGGTAAACTGACCCCTGCTGGACAGTCCTGGGTGAACTGACTCCTGCTGGACCGCCCTGAGTGAACTGATTCCTGCTGGACCGCCCTGAGTGAACTGACCCCTGCTGGACCATCCTGGGTGAACTGACTCCTGCTGGACCGTCCTGGGTAAACTGACCCCTGCTGGACCGTCCTGGGTAAACTGACCCCTGCTGGACCGTCCTGGGTAAACTGACTCCTGCTGGACCGTCCTGGGTAAACTGACTCCTGCTGGACCGTCCTGGGTAAACTGACCCCTGCTGGACCGTCCTGGGTAAACTGACTCCTGCTGGACCGTCCTGGGTAAACTGACCCCTGCTGGACCGTCCTGGGTAAACTGACTCCTGCTGGACCGTCCTGGGTAAACTGACTCCTGCTGGACCGTCCTGGGTAAACTGACCCCTGCTGGACCGTCCTGGGTAAACTGACCCCTGCTGGACCGCCCTGAGTGAACGATTCCTGTTGTTATTGTTGTTGATTTAGGAGGCGACGACGATCGAGGGATCGATTGCGCCCCGGCGTACCTGTTAAGGGTTAATCACGAAGCCTGGAAAGGTGAAACGCCAAGCCAAATCGCGAAACAAGTGACGCCAATCACTGGTAACTAATATGTCATGTGACAAAGAAACGCAGACAAGCAGATGATTGGGGAGCCCCGGGAGTCCCTCAGGGCGACAAGCACCGGCCCCGCCCCACACAGAGAACACCACGTAGCAAAACCAAAAACTCGGCCCCAACTAGAACGCAAAAAGTCCTCCAGTGTTCCCCGGCAGAGCAGAAGCCGGCCGCCCACCACGGCTGAGGGCACACCAGGAGCCCACCAAGACCCGCCAACCCCCGACACCTCTCGGCCAAGCCCGCCCCCGAACACCGTCACCCCGCCGGGAGAACCAGTCAGAACACGTCAAAAAAAAATGCTATCAACAACCTGGTGACCCAAGGCGATAAGTGAACCAGGCGTCGTACAAATCGAACCGTTGAAGAGGAATGCCAAACGGAAGTATCAAATCCAAAATCGCAAAACCGAACGTGAACTGGTGGCTCGCCAACCTGTCCTCTTAAAAATAACGTCGCTTTTCGCTCGTATGCGCGCTATGGCCAAAAATGGACGTAATATGAAATGAAATCAGCTCACAAAAGTGATGTAGTGTCCCGTTTTCAGTTTGAGTCCTCTGGCTTACTCGGAAAGGTTAGGAGAGGAAACTTTCAATTAACATTTTTCATGACGTTTTAAAATTTAAGGCGAATTTCCTGCCCACCTAACCTACCAGAGAACCCTTAACTTATTGTTTTGGAAAACAGAGTATATTTTAAATTTTTCTTTTCATTTTCAAATTACGTCCATTTTCGGCCATACGGCAAACGACCAATTCAGCCGTAATTTGTAAGAGGACAAGTCCCTTCGTTGTCGTCGACCCACCTCCGAAACGAATTATGGTCGGTAGTGCTGCACAGATGGCGTGAATACCGTCACAGTGATGATGTTGTTGATGGTGACAATAGCGATGGTGATGATGGTGACTCTAATAATAATAAGATCATTCTCTTAACAATAGATGCCCAATATGTTCCCATCTTGCAGGTACGCATGAGGTCGAGACCCACAGCGGATGTTACCTGCCCCTGGAGCTCTTCGAGAGCCGCGAGGTCACACTGAGGCCCAGCGTGACCTCTGTCACCATGGCAGAGGTCACGCTGACCGCTCAGGTCAACCTCACTAACAGCGCCCTCGCCCTCGCAATGAAGGTAACTCATTAAAGATGAGTTGTGTAGTTGGTTTTAGAAGTTGGCTTAAACCGGAGGGGATGTATCTCATAGGACGGACTTGGGCAATTGTGGTCGTAGCGGATCAGACTCAGCTCCTGGGCCCGCCTCTTAATCTACGGAATCTACCGCATGTTAAGTTTAGTTTGTTAATGGAATGAAGTAGACAGGAAATAGATGGCAGGATCCTTCCACCTATTTCAAGGTAGATAGGATAAAATAGAGGTCAGGAGTCATAGCAGTAGACGAATGGCGGCTGCTGCATGAACAGTCGGGGTCCAAGAGCTGGAACTCAATACTGTGGGCACAAATAGTCAAGAACATGCTTTTCTCTTAACACACTTCCATTATATCTAACCCTGCCTTCATAAACCTCAATGTTGACACAACCCCAATCACCACCTAACCCAATCACCACCCCAGTCACCACCTAACCCAATCACCGCCTAACCCAGTCACCACCTAACCCAATCACCGCCTAACCAAGTCACCGCCTAACCCAATCACCACCTAACCCAGTCACCACCTAACCCAATCACCGCCTAACCCAGTCACCACCTAACCCAATCACCGCCTAACCCAGTCACCGCCTAACCCAATCACCACCTAACCCAGTCACCACCTAACCCAATCACCGCCTAACCCAGTTACCACCTAACCCAATCACCACCTAACCCAGTCACCACCTAACCCAATCACCACCTAACCCAATCACGACCTAACCCAATCACCGCCTAACCCAATCACCGCCTAACCCAGTCACCACTAACCCAATCACCGCCTAACCCAGTCACCACCTAACCCAATCACCGCCTAACCCAGTCACCGCCTAACCCAGTCACCGCCTAACCCAGTCACCACCTAACCCAGTCACCGCCTAACCCAGTCACCACCTAACCCAATCACCGCCTAACCCAATCAGCACCTAACCCAATCACCAGCTAACATACCACGCTCTTCACCTAAGCCAACAGTGTGACGCTGGCCAATAACAAGGGCGCACACTAACACTCTCAGTGTTCCAGAACGCGGCGGTGGTGACGGGGCCGCTTGGGAACCCGGTCACGGCCAAGTTTAACTCTGCCAGCATCCGCACGGGTCCCAGCACCACCTGGACGGTCAACACCGCCAGAACCTGTCAGTCAGGCAAGCCTTCCCTACCTGCACCAACTAACCCAGTCACCGCCTAACCCTGGGTACCACCTAAGGGGGCCCAATCACCTACCTAACTCAGTCACCGCCTAACCCAGAGTCACCTGCCTGGTACCCAGTGGGAGGGGGCCCAGAGTGCCCTACCTGCTGGGTACCCAGTCACCGGGGGCCTAACCCAGTCACCGCCTAACCCAACGTCCCACCCTACCTGCTTGGTACCAACGTGGGAGGGGGGCCCAGAGTCACCAGCTGGGTACCAACATGGGAGGGGGCCCACATACCCGCTCTTCACCTAACGCCAACAGTGTGCCCTACGCTGGCCAATAACAGAGGGCCCACACTGCCCTACTCTGCAGTGTACCAACATGCGGCGGGGGCCCAGAGTGCCCTACCTGCTTGGTACCAACATGGGAGGGGGCCCAGAGTGCCCTACCTGCTTGGTACCAACATGGGAGGGGCCCAGAGTGCCCTACCTGCTTGGTACCAACATGGGAGGGGGCCCAGAGTGCCCTACCTGCTTGGTACCAACGTGGGAGGGGGCCCAGAGTGCCCTACCTGCTGGGTACCAACGTGGGAGGGGGCCCAGAGTGCCCTACCTGCTGGGTACCAACATGGGAGGGGGCCCAGTGGTGAGGGGGCCGCTTGGGAACGCTTGGTCACGGCCAAGTTTAACTCTGCCAGCATCCGCACGGGCCCCAGCACCACCTGGACGGTCAACACTCCCCAGAACCTGTCAGGTAGGCAAGCCTTCCCTACCTGCTGGGTACCAACATGGGAGGGGGCCCAGAGTGCCCTACCTGCTTGGTACCTACGTGGTACCAACAAGGTAGGGCAAAACTATTAAGTGCCCTTATTGGTAAACTATTAAAATTTAATATTTTTAACAATAATTTGTGTAAATATTGGGGTGAGAGTGAGTGAACCTTCGGTGTTCCCCAGGGAGCAGCTGCCAGGAGGACTCTACACAATCCAGGGAGTTTGCTTCAATCAGACACACAGGGGACAAGGGACTCACGAAGTCCCTAGTGGTCCTGGTGACCCTGCTGGTGGTCTCCGGGGTCATCAACCTCGGCCTCCTTACATACGTCTTCGTCCTCCGGGTGGAGAAGGCTCGTCTTAAGAAGAAGACAGGTAATCTCATCTTATTTTGTTCTCATATCTCATGTTTTTTCGCATTTTACCAAAGTCGCCACGAGGCTATGTCTGGATTTCCTCAGAATGCAAACCACAACAGTTACCTAACTCCCGAGTACCTATTTATCCCTTGGTGAACATGTTTATCGGGTGAAAGGAAACGTGCAGAAACGTCTCTGTCCTGCCTACATTGATCAATCTGCGACCATTCTAGTGTGAGCCGACCGCGCTGGCTACTGTGCTACGGGTCCCCGTGCACACAAGTCTTTTAGAGATCTTGACTCGACCAATTGGTTGAGTCACCGACGGCCTCAACCTCTTACTACTCAGCGTTCGATCCCCGAAGGTCCAAGTGGTTGGTCACCGTTCCTTCCGTCCTTCGCATCCCAGCTCCCTGTCCTCAAATCCCACCTTTATGTCCTCATATACAGCTCCTTGTCCTAATATCCCAGTTCATTGTCTTCATATCCCAGCTCCTTGTGCTATATAGTCGTAATTATCTTACCTGATAAAGGTAAGGTAATTACCTTTATCAGGTAAATCCTTGTCAGCAAAGTGGATGTGGAAAGGAATACTGTCCTCTATGAACTATTATCTAAGCAGTTTTCAATCCTATATAATTTCCTCTGAATCTTGATCCCTTTTCAAAAAATTAAAATCCATAAGAGATGATTGATGCATAGCCAATATTGTGCTTTGTTAATCATTTAAGATGTATCACTTCCTTAAGATGCAATGCAGCAAAGAATTAAAATATGCGACAAATATTCGATTTCAATTTAATTCAGAATCACTGAAATAGGGTACACATATATCTATTGAGATGTTGAAGTGTGTTTAGAGTCCACCTTTCATTTCCCAGCTTTATTAAGATCACAACAGGAGATAACCAGCCCAGAGCCGTGGGTGCTCCCCATGCAGGGGACATTGGTATTAATCATGTTTGCAACAGGCACACGTCTCAGTTCTCCCCCCCCCCTGAGCCTCTTCATTACAGTAGCTCTACACATTGTTGCTTTTCTCAGAGACTGATTACAGGTGTACATGCTAGAAGTTCGTAGCTGACCAATATGGACGCGCCACTTGTCTCCCACATGTGACCGCAGCAGATTCCAGCATAAAATTTAAAGCGTAATGGTTTTATAATTCAATGTAAGACGTTTCAATGTTATTTTAATGTTTCATGTTTCAGAACTATTCCATGGTATCCACTCTGAGGCACACGCACGCCCTCAACCCATGGCACCAGGCAGCCCTCAACCAATGGCACCAGGCACCCCTCAACCCATGGCACACAGGGAAATGGCATCATTCGACAACACAGTCTACTATGATAAGTCACGTGAGAGCGACATGTATGACAACACCAGGGTTGATTCTGTTCTCTATGACGATATCACCACTCTCAAGATGGTGTAGTGGATATCATGATGAGTTGAAATGCGATCCCTTAGTGTGTTGGTTGAGACGAGTCCTCATCTCTAAGTTGCAGAATGATCCCGCAATGTACGGTCTCTTCGATTTCATAAAACTTACACAGAGGGTTGGGGTTACAGGCTATCTTTCTTAAAGCATATAATTTAGGCTCACCCCGACTTGCCTATGTCCGTCCTATACCACAGACCATTCCCCCTACAAGCCTCCAAATTCAGACAAACAAAACGTTCTCTTTTAAAGGTAAAGAGGTGAAACCTAGTGAGGCTCGTGGGAATATTTCTATCAAATATTGCTATAAAAGTTTATTCATTTTATTTGCATGATTTATCATTGTTTATTTAATAATTATTATTGTTGTTTGATTAGTGTAAATAAAATATCAGCTAAAACTTGCAGTATTTCTATCCCTGTCAATTTTCCCCAACATGATATGACCAAAATATTTTGTATAATTATATGGGGAACAGATAAGAAGATAAGAATCAAGAAATCTGCAGAGACCTTCTGGCCTTCGAGGAAGCAGTTATTTCTAGCCACACAAACTCATTCATATAATGTCTAACCTACGCTTAAACAATCCATCACAACAACATCAGAGTAGAGTTAGAGCTCCAATCTCAAATACCAAGAGTGAGACAGTCCCAGACTTGAAGGGATTGAGTTCCATGGCTTGAGGAACTATACATAACGTTGGCAGGAAGAAGACACTGAGGCGACGCCTGGCGGCCAGACACACAGGTGAGTCACAGGACGGTCCCTCCTAGTGAGCAATTACAACGTCACTAAACTGTTGTACTAAAGTGCCCGAACCTAACCAACCCGAGGACCCGCGAACAGAAATCGGGATATCACGTCAATTGTTTTCGCGAACCTCTACCATTTTTTTGTACATCAATTTTTGGCTTCATGTAACGTATACGTCAAAATAAGACGTGCTATTAGGAGAGGGATTGCACAAGGATGTGAGAAAGGCCAGACTGGGGTGAGCCACAGTAGGAGGGGAAACACATCTTGAGTGTAAGGCCAGTCAATAAGGGGAACGAAGAAGGGAAAATTATCGTGATCGCTGAACCCGGGTTCATTCCGAACACAGCTGTAACTCTGGTGCCTCAGGAACCGTCACTACCACCGTGTAATTCCCAACACCAGAACCCTTGAGGTGTACCTCTAGGTTTATACAGGAACGCAATGAAAGAACACATGGACGATGATTAAAGGCCGTTGGGTTTATCCTATTTAATTACATCAATATACTCTGATAATAATTAACACATTAACCTACTTACTCTGGTTAAAGCAGCTTCCCGTACACATAACCCCACTGAACCTTCCTGGTCACCACCTGGACTGGTAACCGCCGCCAGAGTCCCTAATACCTAATCATGACTATAACTCTCCACACCTCGTTAGTCGTCCATACAATACTCACACACTGCGGACTGGACTCGGTCACCAAGATCACTCAGCGGGTCCCAACATTTGGTCGGGTCCACTTCGTTGCTGCCACAGCCGGAGGTAAGGAGAGCTTGCTAAGACCGCTGCCACCATGAGACTGCCCACCAGCCGGTCTTAGCCTCAACCATTGTACCCAGCATCCCAAGGAGGGTATAATCTGATTAACTGTAAATCTCCTTGTTCCCAGGAAGTTAGAGGTCACCCTTTGTCATCTTGGCTGGTACATTGGTTTGTGTGAGCAACGGCTGTCTTAACCCTTTGGCCTGACCTCAATGTGTGATCAGTCTGAATACTTAACATGTACTTCCACCCATCATTTGGTTGTAGTGCTTGATTCACAAGCTAACATTCCCTCCTAACTAACCTGACAACAAATACTAGAGGGGACATGTATCCATAGCAAATATAGCAAGAAAACAATGAGATCAGAATGACTTTCGACTCTTGCCATAAACGATCGACTACAAATTCGGGGCCCAAGAGCTGAAGCTTGGTTTGGCAATCTGTATTAGGTAAGTACACACACACACACACAACACAGGAAATGAGTTCCCTTTCTTTTCCTTAAAATCGCTTGATGATGCATTTATATAAAAAAAATAAAGTGTGAGCTGATAATTCAGTCCAGGATGCCAGTGATTAATCCGGCCAGAGGAGTGGCAGTATCCGGCCGGATTTACTCTAGAAGGCACTGTGAAGGAGGCAGCTGCGCTAGCAGGTCGTGGATCCCCTTCTGTGTTGTTACTGTCGCTGAACGACTCTGTCGCGCCTGGAGGCTGGTCGTCCCGTCAGCGACACGATGCTGGCAACACTTCCTCTGGTGGTGACGGCGCTGCTGGCCACCACGACCAGTGCTGCAGAGTCACCTGGTGAGAGCTGCTCCAGTTACTCTTCCTTAGGGTTCTACCCCACATGTGCTCATCTATATATGCATCCAGGGCAAGCGTCAGCTCTCGGGTCCCACCTTTCAGCTGCATGTCACTGATGGCTCCCTTTTTTCTTGGTTCTTATCATACTTTATTATGAAAATATTTTCAACCACTTCCTCGCCTAGGTGATGCATCTTAATCATCAGTGTTACACTGACGTGACTCCTCAGCATCCCTGCGGCATCTTGGGGTTTTGCTCTCCAAGTGTGGGTATGAAGGCCTCCCCAGCCCTCCCCCTTCCCTCCACCTGTTTTGCATCCTCCTCCTCCCCACTGCACCTTTATCCTTCTCTTTCCTCCTTTATCCTCCCGTCTTCACAATTATCCTGATCTCTCCCGCTCTATCTTTTTTTTTTCACTACGTTTATCCTTCTCGCTTCCCTGTATATTCCCCTCTCAAAGGTTATCCTCCCATCTCCATCTTTATCCTCCCCCTCTCCCCATAATTCTCCCTTTCTACCCTTAACCAGTCTTCTACCACTCCTTTACTTAGCTCAGCTGTCTCTCCCACAGGTCAGCCTCCGTGCCAGACCTATACCACCATTATCGGAGTCTGGATACCTGTACCAGAGGACCAGCATGAGCTGGACTTGTGGTTCAGTTTTCAGCAACGTGACAGTGAGGTGAACATCGCTGTTGTGACCACCAAGGGAGAACAGGCCTTATCCTTTATGCTTACCAGCAGGCGGGGACACCGCACACGTTCGAGACATAACAGTGACAGCTCCAGTAGCCACGATGAGGAGAATACCAGCTGGTGTAGAGTCCGGCTGACACAGGCAGTAAAGGTAGGTCAGTGTGACCTTCCCTCTCCTCTCTCTCACACCACCAGCGTCCCTACAGTCCTGGAGCCTCTTGGTCAACATTATCTTGCCTTAGAGTCACTAGATATTTATATATATACACAATATTGACCCTCGTAGAGACTGGTGAAGAGGTCACACTGAGTGAATGTTAATAACTTCTTGTAATGTTGTTGCAGGGAGTGAACAACTCCAGACTGTCAGCAGCGGGTCACTGCGGGGACAACAGTAAGGAAAAGGAGTACACACGAGACGACGTGACGGCATTGTTGGTGAACATGAAATATGGCAACATTGACTTCACTGTGTGCCTCGTCCCACCACACCCAGGTCAGTATAACACTGTGACAGCCAAGTTCCACCACACCCAGGTCAGTATAACACTGTGACAGCCAAGTCCCACCACACCCAGGTCAGTATAACACTGTGACAGCCAAGTCCCACCACACCCAGGTCAGTATAACACTGTGACAGCCAAGTACCACCACACCCAGGTCAGTATAACACTGTGACAGCCAAGTCCCACCACACCCAGGTCAGTATAACACTGTGACAGCCAAGTCCCACCACACCCAGGTCAGTATAACACTGTGACAGCCAAGTACCACCACACCCAGGTCAGTATAACACTGTGACAGCCAAGTACCACCACACCCAGGTCAGTATAACACTGTGACAGCCAAGTACCACCACACCCAGGTCAGTATAACACTGTGACAGCCAAGTACCACCACACCCAGGTCAGTATAACACTGTAACAGTCAAGTACCACCACACCCAGGTCAGTATAACACTGTGACAGCCAAGTCCCACCACACCCAGGTCAGTATAACACTGTAACAGCCAAGTCCCACCACACCCAGGTCAGTATAACACTGTAACAGCCAAGTCCCACCACACCCAGGTCAGTATAACACTGTAACAGCCAAGTCCCACCACACCCAGGTCAGTATAACACTGTAACAGCCAAGTCCCACCACACCCAAGTCAGTATAACACTGTGACAGCCAAGTACCACCACACCCAGGTCAGTATAACACTGTGACAGCCAAGTCCCACCACACCCAGGTCAGTATAACACTGTAACAGTCAAGTCCCACCACACCCAGGTCAGTATAACACTGTAACAGTCAAGTCCCACCACACGCAGGTCAGTATAACACTGTGACAGCCAAGTCCCACCACACCCAGGTCAGTATAACACTGTAACAGTCAAGTCCCACCACACCCAGGTCAGTATAACACTGTAACAGTCAAGTCCCACCACACCCAGGTCAGTATAACACTGTAACAGCCAAGTCCCACCACACCCAGCGAGGTCGCTGCTTATTACTCTATGGTCTTATAGATGAAATCAAAGCAAAAACAGCAGAGCAAAAGTCTGGAAAACATCAGATAACAGGATGTGTTATATCCTGTTTTCTGATGATTGTTATTGATTGTTACAGAATGTGTTGTACTGATTGTGTGATACTGGGAGCGGGTTGTCGGATACTGGGAGCGGGTTGTCGGATACTGGGAGCGGGTTGTCGGATACTGGGAGCGGGTTGTCGGATACTGGGAGCGGGTTCTTGGGTATTCGGAAAGGGTAGATGGATTCTGGAAAAGAGTATAATGTAATGGATTTCAAGATGTGCTGTTGTAGCCATAAGTGACTATTCCAGTTCCTCGTCTAAACTCTCAGTGTTAATATAACTTAATTCGATATTCTGTTAATAGTTCCCTGTTTTATATCCATGTTTCTGTGATTGCTATGATATTTATTGTTTCAGTGTACTCAGGAGTGCTTAAAATATCCATTTTATTTTAATTCTCCTGTAATTTGTGTAATATTTATTTAGGATTTTGTGTAGACTTTTGTACCTCTCTGTAAATGAGAAAAGTTACAAAAGATAATAAAAGTGTTATAATTTTTTCTCCACTTGTGCTACACTTTCCAGGCTCAGTGGTCATGTTGACAGCTGTCCTCCGCCAGCACACAACTTGACCACTGACCTCTGTCAGTCTCACTACGTGGTGGTAATACACAAGAACCTTTGTAAAGTCTTTGGGTCTGTAATAATTCGCGACCATTATTGGAATTTTGTTATATGTTATAAAGGAGCTAAAAATTGAATATCAAAATTACTGAAGAAAATATTTTAATTTCTAAAATTTGATAAGGCGTACTAAATTTTAGTGTAATACTTTTATGTAGCTAGAGATAACTAGTCTTGATGAGCTTTGCAAACAAGCAAATATGTTTGTTAATGGTGTAATTAACATTTCGAATATATTCAGTCTGTCCGACAGGAACTTGGAGGCCTCGGGGTAACTCCCGCCCTGTAGAACCACCTGTGTCCAACACCTCACAGTGTCCCACAGCTTGCCCTGAGCAGCAGGAGCTGCAGCAGGGGGTGACGGTGGTGTTGGGCGCTGTGCTGGCCGCCTGTCTGCTGGATGTCGTAGTAACTTCTGCTGTTCTCTGCGTCATCAGGCACATAACAGGTGACGTTCTATGTTATGTGTCTGTCTGTGTGGTTGTGGGGTCTGCAAGTGACAGTTTGCATGTGACTGTCTGGAGTCACCTAGTTGTGCTTGCGGGGGTTGAGCTTTGACTCTTTGGTCCCGCCTCTCAACCGTCAATCAACAGGTGTACAGATTCCTGAGCCTACTGGGCTCTATCATATCTACACTTGAAACTGTATGGAGTCAGCCTCCACCACATCACTGCCTAATGCATTCCATTTGTTAACTACTCTCACACTGAAAAAATTCTTTCTAATGTCTCTTTGGCTCATTTGAGTACTATGTTTCCCCCTTGAGTCGCCTTGCTCGTGTTCTGCCCATGCTAAATAGTTTGTACCTATCAATTCCTGAGAATTTTGTAGGTGGTGATCATGTCCCCCCCCCCCCCCAACTCCTCTGTCTTCCAGGAATGTGTGGTTTAATTCCCGGAGCCTCTCTTCGTAACTCATACCTCTCAGTTCTGGGACTAGTCTGGTGGCATACCTCTGAATCTTCTCTAACTTGTTCCCGTTTTAAACTAGGTATGGACTACAGGCCGGAGCTGCACACCTCAGAATTGGTCTAAAATATGTGGTTCACAAGTTTCTAAAGGCAGTTCTTATGTTGGCCAATGTAACATACGCCGCTAATGATATCTGTTTGCTGGGCTTCTGGGGACAGGTTCGGTGTGATACCAAACACCCAGATGTTTCTCACTACTTGAATCTTGAAGGATTTCACCACTCAGATGGCACCTTGTGTTCGGCTCCCTTCACCTAGTTTCATTACTTTACACTTGAGATAAACTTTATTAGCCATTTTCTTGATCATTCCTCCAGTTTGTCCAAGTTGTCCTGTGGTCTCTGTCTATCTTGTTCTTAATAAGTTTGCTTCCTTACATGCCTTACTGAACCAAGTATTCTTCTGATGCTTTTCAGTTTTCTATTTTTGGACCGGAATAAACCTGTCTACAGCTTCCTGGCACTTCTGGGTGACGTAGTCGATCATATCTTGTACAGATGTTTCCTTGTTCTGTTTCCCATGGTATTCCCATTAGGAATTTTCTCATCTCATCATAGTTCCCTCTTTGCCAGCCATCCTTTTCCTTTCTGATACGTTCCTTAGACAGGTTTTCCCAACTGTCATTTTCCTAACATCTACATGACTCATCTGAGTTTCCAGCTTCAACCCCCTTGCCCCCTTGTTCCTTTGATATTCAGTGTGAACATTTCGTCTCTTTCCACTCTATCAATCCCTATGAGCATTTTATATGTCGCTATCATATCTCTCCGCTCCCTGCATTTTTTGTTAGCGTCGTCAAGTACAGTTCCTTCAGTCGCTCTTCATGCCCAATTCCTCGCAATTCTAGGACGAGTCTTGTCGCAAACTTCTTAACCTTTCCCAGTTTCCTTATGTATTTCTTCAGGTAGGGGGCACCACGTTGGTGCGGCATACTCTAAGACTGGCCTCACGTAGGCAGTGTAAAGCGCCCTAAATGCCTCCTAACTTAAGTTTCTGAATGATGTTCTAACTTTTGCCAGTGTAGAGTTCGCTGTTGTCGTTATCCTAGTTATATGTGCCTCAGGAGTTAGATTAGGTCTTACGTCCACTCCCAAGTATGTCTGTCTGTGACTGTCTATCTGTGATTGTCTGTCTATTAATGTTTGACTGTGACTGTCTGTGGGTGACAACTTGAGTCTCTCCGGGAGTGTGTGCTCCCTGCTCTTCAATACATCAGTTCCCATATTGTTCACCACACCATAACACTGTTGTTATATGTTCACCACACCATAACACTGTTGTTATATGTTCACCACACCATAACACTGTTGTTATATGTTCACCACACCATAACACTGTTGTTATATGTTCACCACACCATAACACTGTTGTTATCTGTTCACCACATCATAACACTGTTGTTATATGTTCACCACACCATAACACTGTTGTTATATGTTCACCACACCATAACACTGTTGTTATATGTTCACCACACCATAACACTGTTGTTATATGTTCACCACACCATAACACTGTTGTTATATGTTCACCACACCATAACAACGTTGCCATATTGTTCACCACACCATAACAACGTAGCAACGACACCCCCCCTCACTCTCGGAACCTGTAGATTACCTTAAGTTGGTTTCAAGAGTTCCGATACTCACAAGTTTTGTGAAAACATTGTGTGATTATTTTTTCTGGTGATACTTTGATCGATCAGACTGTTGCTTGCAGCCGCTCGCAGGTCCACATATCCTACAAATTACATGCGTAATAGAGATCTTCAATTTTTCCGCAGATTGATAGAGATGTGACAGGAGAAACATCCGGCTCCAGCATCCGGCTCCAGCATCTGGCGTCAGCTTCTACAGTCACTTGGTGCCAGTCTTGGTGCCAGTCTTGGTGCCAGTCTTGGTGCCAGTCCTGGTGCCAGTCCTGGTGCCAGTCTTGGTGCCAGTCTTGGTGCCAGTCCTGGTGCCAGTCTTGGTGCCAGTCTTGGTGCCAGTCTTGGTGCCAGTCCTGGTGCCAGTCCTGGTGCCAGTCTTGGTGCCAGTCTTGGTGCCAGTCTTGGTGCCAGTCCTGGTGCCAGTCTTGGTGCCAGTCCTGGTGCCAGTGTTGGTGCCAGTCCTGGTGCCAGTGTTGGTGCCAGTCCTGGTGCCAGTGTTGGTGCCAGTCCTGGTGCCATTGTTGGTGCCAGTCCTGGTGCCAGTCCTGGTGCCAGTCTTGGTGCCAGTCCTGGTGCCAGTCTTGGTGCCAGTCTTGGTGCCAGTCCTGGTGCCAGTCCTGGTGCCAGTCCTGGTGCCAGTCTTGGTGCCAGTCTTGATGCCAGTCCTGGTGCCAGTCCTGGTGCAAGTCTTGGTGCCAGTCTTGGTGCCAGTCCTGGTGCCAGTCTTGGTGCCAGTCTTGGTGCCAGTCCTGGTTCCAGTCTTGGTGCCAGTCCTGGTGCCAGTCTTGGTGCCAGTCCTGGTGCCAGTCTTGGTGCCAGTCTTGGTGCCAGTCCTGGTGCCAGTCTTGGTGCCAGTCTTGGTGCCAGTTCTGGTGCCAGTCTTGGTGCCAGTCTTGGTGCCAGTCCTGGTGCCAGTCTTGGTGACAGTCTTGGTGCCAGTCCTGGTGCCAGTCTTGGTGCCACTCTTGGTGCCAGTCCTGGTTCCAGTCTTGGTGCCAGTCCTGGTGCCAGTGTTGGTGCCAGTCCTAGTGCCAGTGTTGGTGCCAGTCTTGGTGCCAGTCCTGGTGCCAGTCTTGGTGCCAGTCTTGGTGCCAGTCCTAGTGTCAGTGTTGGTGCCAGTCTTGGTGCCAGTCCTGGTGCCAGTCTTGGTGCCAGTCTTGGTGCCAGTCCTGGTGCCAGTCTTGGTGCCAGTCCTGGTGCCAGTCCTGGTGCCAGTGTTGGTGCCAGTCCTGGTGCCAGTCTTGGTGCCAGTGTTGGTGCCAGTGTTGGTGCCAGTCTTGGTGCCAGTGTTGGCGCCAGTGTTGGTGCCAGTCTTGGTGCCAGTCCTGGTGCCAGTCCTGGTGCCAGTCCTGGTGCCAGTGTTGGTGCCAGTCTTGGTGCCAGTCTTGGTGCCAGTCTTGGTGCCAGTCTTGGTGCCAGTCCTGGTGCCAGTCCTGGTGCCAGTGTTGGTGCCAGTCATGGTGCCAGTGTTGGTGCCAGTCCTGGTGCCAGTGTTGGTGCCAGTCCTGGTGCCAGTGTTGGTGCCAGTCCTGGTGCCAGTCTTGGTGCCAGTCCTGGTGCCAGTCTTGGTGCCAGTCTTGGTGCCAGTCTTGGTGCCAGTCCTGGTGCCAGTGTTGGTGCCAGTGTTGGTGTTGGTGCCAGTCTTGGTGCCAGTGTTGGTGCCAGTCTTGGTGCCAGTCTTGGTGCCAGTCCTGGTGCCAGTCTTGGTGCCAGTCCTGGTGCCAGTCTTGGTGCCAGTCCTGGTGCCAGTCCTGGTGCCAGTCTTGGTGCCAGTCCTGGTGCCAGTCTTGGTGCCAGTCTTGGTGCCAGTCCTGGTGCCAGTCCTGGTGTCAGCCAAAGTGCCAAATGTTACTATTAAAGCATTTAAAATAAATCATATTATATAACAATACTCTGCTTAAAAGTTAAACTACAGAGGGTTAGATTTGGAAGTCCTTTTACTATACTTGATAAACCCTTAAATGTTAAACCACAGAAGTTTAGATCTAGTAATCCTTTTTTATTCTTGTTAAAAAACTTTAAATGTTAAACCACAGAGGTTTAAATCTGGGAATCCTGTCCCAGATTTCTAGCAGAAAGTTAGATCTGATAATGATCTTGTTATATTTGTTGAAACCTTAGATGGGGTATACCAAGAACTCGGTTGTCAGAGGTCAATTGCCACCCATGTTCACAACTGTTATGACATGGACAGAGCTAAATTATGTTCCAAACTGGTCCCATGATCTTGGGACAACAGTGAAGGAGTTTATCAGGAAAGTCAGGAGTAAATACAAGCCTGGCAATAAGCTTGTTGATTTATGAAACAAATTACTTGGTAACATAATAGACGATGGGTGGCAGGATTGTTTCAAGCGTAGGTTAGACATGTGAATGAGTAAGGCTGAATATGGAGCAGCCTTGTATAGGCCAAGAGTCCTGCAGTTACCTTAATTATTATAATCTTATGGGGTCTAAAATGGCTGAGTTTGAGAAAGATGTGTATTGTTGTAAATATGTGAAGAGAGGGAGGCGGGATCACTCCCAGGAAGGTTGCCAGTCTAGCATTATCTTCACTCTAATAAGACCTAATTGCATTCCTCAGATTAGGCAAAATTGTAATTAATTGTTGTTAGTGAAGATGTTAATAGTAATAAGTCTTCTGCTGGTTATTTGTGTCTGTTAAACTTAATATGTGGCGTCCCGATCCCTATATTTATGTCCCTATGTTTATGTGTAGCACTTATGCTAGTGTACATGTTAGGATAACAGTCAATGGGTTAGGATATCTTGTCTGTGGGGATATCTTATGCTATTCTGTAATGCTATAAACTACCAACTTGTCATATTGAAGGTTATAAGGAATCACTGGGCTAACCGCCTGACCCTTCCATTGTTCACTCCGCCACATAAACAGCTCCGTTTGGTAAAACTCACATTTCATATTTACGTCATAAACAAATGTCTAAACTGAATTGAACAGACAGCTTGTTTCTTCTTGCATTAGTGGCATATTTATCCTCATTAAAACATTATAATAAAGAATATTACAAGTGGACTTGCGAGGGTTCTTGAAAATATCACTGCGCCACCAGACTCAGTGTGCTACGGCAACCCTCAGGGAGCAGACCTACTTCGCCGCGCTCCTAAGATTTCTCAAGTTTGCTTTTGACTCCCTGTTTGGTGAGTTGTGTCTAGTATTATATTCCTTCAGGGAGTTACAGGAGTTATTTTTTTTAGTAATAATGCTTACTTTTCAAATATATTTTAAATGCCGGTTACTAAGTTCAAACTAGTCTTAATATTTGATGGTATATTTATGGGATCATTTGTTATATTTTATAGTACTATTTAGTATATTGGTATCCATATATGATATATATCTGATGAGGGATTTTTGTGATTGCATTCATAATGATATTTCTTAATCTTATTGTGATATTACTGGAGTAATTTACTGTTAGTAAACTTTGCATGTGGGAGTTATTAATTGATTGTGATTAATGTAAGTGAATTTCAGCCCTACACTCTTGCCTGATATATTTATCATTCCTGGTTTTCTTAAATATTAGCGAAATCAAATTTGTATAGTTAAATATAACTTGGTCCTTGTTAGTGAGTTTATTTGAGCCCTGTATTTTGTACCGCCAAGACACTCATTATTGTATGTCTACCATGATGGCACAGTTGTGGCACTCCCATGTGGCACTCCTGTCACTGGGTGTCGCCCATTATTGGCGTATCATTAGCTATAATTATTGACACTATAGTTCCACCAGCTGTTGAGGGATTGTGGGACTAACCAACCAGGGTGCCAAACTTGGTTGGCACTCTGGTTGGCTCTGAGAAATAGATGGTCGGCAAGGGGAGATCTTTGAATGACAAGATGCTGCGGGTCATCCGAGGAGTCCCGCATTGGTCAGTACTGAGACCTATCCTGTTTGATATATGTGAATGATCTTTTAGAGGAATTGGATATATTCTTTTTAATGACCAGAACAAACTAAAAGAACAATCCATCAAATGGCTACTAGAGTTTAACTCCAGAAAGTGAAAAGTAATGACAGTACATAGAGAGAACAGGGGACCGGACACAAGGTACCAAATAGGATATGAACTATAGAACGGCCTGGGGGCTGATATCAAAAGTGTACCATCAGTGGCGTCTATTTGGTTGACCAACATAAGAACTGCTTTTAGAAATCTCTAAGGAGGCATTGTCTATCATGTGTCGCCCACTACTGGCGACATCATTACCTATAATTTTGACACTATAGTACCACCAGTTGTTGAGATATTGTGGGACTAACCAGGGTGCCAAGCCACCCTGGTTGGCACCCTTGTTGGCACTCTGGTTGGCACCCTTGTTGGCACCCTGGTTGGCACCCTGGTTGGCACTCTGGTTGGCACCCTGAGATATAGAAGGCCGGCAAGTTGAGATCTCTGAATCTTGAGATGTGGGTCACCTGCAGAGTGCCACATAGGTCAGTACTCTGACCTATCCTGTTTCTGATATATGTAAATGATCTTCCAGAGACAATAGATATATTCCTTTAAATGACTAGATGCCATGATCAGAACAAATTAACAGAACAGTCCAACTAATGGCTACTAGAGTGTAATTCAAGAAAGTGCAAAGTAATGACACTATATATAGAGAACAGGAGACCGGACACAAGGTACCAAAATGGATATGAACTAGAGAACGACCTGGGGACTGGTAAAAAATGTACCATTAGGTACACTTGTCTATTAAGTTGGCCAACATAAGAATTACTTTCAGAAATCTACAAGGAGGCATTAAGGACCTTGTATATCACGTCAGCACAATCTTAGAATGTGAGACTCCAGCGTGGAGTCCATATTAAGTCAAACACAAGAGGAAGTTGGAGATAGTGCAGAAGTATGCCACCAGGCTGGCCAGGGAAGTAAGAGGTATGAGTGACGAGGAAAGGCTACAAGACCATATCTAATATCACATCGGTGGAAGACAAAAATCTTAGGGGAGACATGATTGCTATATACAGAATTCTCAAAAGAATTGATAGGGAACGCAAGGACACACTGTTTAACATAGTTGGTAGTCAAACTAGAAACGCATTTGAAAACTGAGTAGCCAAATGAGTCAGAGACAAATCAATGTTAGTGTTACCTTACCTTACGGTTACCTTGTGATGGTTTCGGGGTTCAACGTCCCCGCGGCCCGGTCCACAACCAGGCCTCCTCGTTGCTGGACTGGTCAACCAGGCTGTTGGACGCGGCTGCTCGCAACCTGACGTATGAATCACAGCCTGGTTCACACAGGGTAGTTAACAAATGGATGCACTTAAAAGTGACAGCGTAGTGGCAGACTCCACACACAGTTCCAGATGTAAATATGACAGTCTAATGGGCTCAGGGACTTGTACACCAGTTGACTGACGGGACCAAAGAGCTGAACCTCAACCCTCGAAAGCACAGTTAGGTGAGTACACACTAACCTGGAACACGGAAAATATAAGACCAATCACGTTCATGTAGACGTTCACGTTCATGTTGGCGTTCACGTTCATGTAGACGTTCACGTTCATGTAGACGTTCACGTTCATGTAGACGTTCACGTTCATGTAGACGTTCACGTTCATGTAGACGTTCACGTTCATGCAGACGTTCATGTTCATGCAGACGTTCACGTTCATGCAGACGTTCACGTTCATGTAGACGTTCACGTTCATGCAGACGTTCACGTTCATGTAGACGTTCACGTTCATGCAGACGTTCACGTTCATGAAGACGTTCACGTTCATGCAGACGTTCACGTTCATGCAGACGTTCACGTTCATGCAGACGTTCACGTTCATGTTATTCGTTTGCCTTGTTCGGGTTGAATGTAGACACAGTAGTCGCTTCTGTATATATTTATTGAGTGAGGCAAACAGGTGTATAACTGGCCAGCCGAGGTCCACCTACTCTGGGTCTGTGAGGATAACTGCGGCTGCTGGGAGCAAAGACCAATGTACAATATATATAATGTGCAATATATTTACAAGCATATACAAGGCCTGGATCAAGAAGACTAACATCTGCGTGATAGCAGTCAGGATTCACTGGCCACAATGTGGTTGCTAGAACAATAATAACTCTTATGACAAGCACTGTAAAAATACAAATGGTAGTTGACTTAACAATGGCATCTAATTCATAACAAAATAAAGTTGAGAAAAACTATACATTATATATAATGGTAATAATAAGACACATGTGGTAGAAATACTGCAAATTATTTTTTTTTTTTTCAAAACAAACAGAATAACTGCAGAGTGCAATCAATTATAAATTCTGCGGATATCTACACCTAGCTCATCCAGAGCACTATACAACTCTGGCTCTGACTGAAGGTCCGGAACAGATGAAACTTCATGTGACAAACTATCATCTTGAGAGATATCCTCGTTAACATCTAGCCAATGGACGTGTGGTGAGTGCACGGTTGAAACGAGAGGTCTAGATCTAAGATTATAATTGCTAGTATGGGGTTGCTGAACATCAAGTGGTCTGTCAACCACAGAAGGTGGTGTCCGAGTAGGAGTATCTGTCTGGGTAAGTTCATTGTCATCTTCCTCATCAGTCTCGTCAACAGTCATTTTAGCTAACTTCATGTGGTCTAAATGCTCATTTATATACTCTCCTGTTAACAAGTTCTTAAGTCTGTATTTGTTACCTTTAATAAGCTCGATTACCTTATATGGACCCAAAAATTTCTTAGTTAACTTGTACATAGGACCAGACCTGTGTTGGTTAAGTATCATTACTACAGATCCAATAGTTATTTTATTGGGTTTAGCTCGTGCATTCCTTGCTAGAGTGAACTCGGCTGTTGCTTTGGACAGTTGTTCTCGTATTTTCTTGAATACTAATTGCATTTGTCTACGCTTCACTTGAACAAAATCATCTACGTTATATAAGGGAGTAGGAGGTACGTTAATCAATTCATTAGGGAGGATCTTATCTGTACCATAAAGAATAGCGTGAGGTGTGTCACCAGCAGAAACATTAATTGAAGAATTTATAGCACACTGAATTAAGGGTATAAAATCATCCCAATTGTTGTTATCAAAATTCAACGTGACTCTCAAGGCATCTAACACTTTCCTGTTAGTACGTTCAGCTAGTCCATTACTTGCCGGATGGTAAGGCATAATGCTACATTTTTTGATGTTATATAAATCACACAAGCTAGTTAGAATACTATTACTGAATTCTGGACCATTATCTGAAAGGATTACTTTAGGCATACTATATCTACAAATTATTTGGTCATGGAATGCGCTGGCTATGGTTTCTGCTGTTTTGTTCGGGATAGGAACTAGTTCGCAAAACCGTGAAAAATTATCGACCATTACAAGCAAATGTTTGTTCCCTTTCTCTGTTTCCGCAAAATTTGTCAATAAATCCATCGATATTCGTTCCCAAGGAGCTTTAGTTGCTGGGTACACCTGAATTGGATTAGGTCCTGAAACATGTCCCTTGTGCTGTAAACAAGTTAAGCATCTGTCAACATAATGAGCAATCTCCTTAGCCATTTTCGGCCAAAAATATTTCAATCGACCTTGTTGGAGTGTACGATCCTTTCCTGGATGTGCACTTGCAGGAATTTGAGTATAACAATGTTGGCGTTCACGTTCATGAAGACGTTCACGTTCATGCAGACGTTCACGTTCATGCAGACGTTCACGTTCATGCAGACGTTCACGTTCATGCAGACGTTCACGTTCATGTTGACGTTCACGTTCATGTAGACGTTCACGTTCATGTAGACGTTCACGTTCATGTAGACGTTCACGTTCATGTAGACGTTCACGTTCATGCAGACGTTCACGTTCATGCAGACGTTCACGTTCATGAAGACGTTCACGTTCATGCAGACGTTCACGTTCATGAAGACGTTCACGTTCATGCAGACGTTCACGTTCATGCAGACGTTCACGTTCATGCAGACGTTCACGTTCATGTAGACGTTCACGTTCATGTAGACGTTCACGTTCATGCAGACGTTCACGTTCATGTTGACGTTCACGTTCATGCAGACGTTCACGTTCATGTAGACGTTCACGTTCATGGAGACGTTCACGTTCATGCAGACGTTCACGTTCATGAAGACGTTCACGTTCATGCAGACGTTCACGTTCATGTAGACGTTCATGTAGACGTTCACGTTCATGTAGACGTTCACGTTCATGTAGACGTTCACGTTCATGTAGACGTTCACGTTCATGTAGACGTTCACGTTCATGTTGACGTTCACGTTCATGTAGACGTTCACGTTCATGTAGACGTTCACGTTCATGCAGACGTTCACGTTCATGCAGACGTTCACGTTCATGTTGACGTTCACGTTCATGTAGACGTTCACGTTCATGTAGACGTTCACGTTCATGCAGACGTTCACGTTCATGTAGACGTTCACGTTCATGTTGACGTTCACGTTCATGTAGACGTTCACGTTCATGGAGATGTTCACGTTCATGTAGATGTTCACGTTCATGTAGACGTTCACGGTCATGTAGACGTTCACGTTCATGTAGACGTTCACGTTCATGTAGACGTTCACGTTCATGCAGACGTTCACGTTCATGAAGACGTTCACGTTCATGTAGACGTTCACGTTCATGTAGACGTTCACGTTCATGTAGACGTTCACGTTCATGTAGACGTTCACGTTCATGTAGATGTTCACGTTCATGTAGACGTTCACGTTCATGTAGACGTTCACGTTCATGTAGACGTTCACGTTCATGTAGACGTTCACGTTCATGTAGACGTTCCCGTTCATGAAGACGTTCCCGTTCATGAAGACGTTCCCGTTCATGTAGACGTTCCCGTTCATGAAGACGTTCCCGTTCATGAAGACGTTCACGTTCATGTAGACGTTCACGTTCATGTAGACGTTCACGTTCATGTAGACGTTCACGGTCATGTAGACGTTCACGTTCATGTAGACGTTCACGTTCATGTAGACGTTCACGGTCATGTAGACGTTCACGGTCATGAAGACGTACATATGTGTTGTGAATTTTATATTAGGATGTGTACCCTTCCTTTTGTGATAATGTTACCACACACACACACACACACACACACACACACACACACACACACACACACACACACACACACACACACACACACACACACACACACACACATCCTGGAGTATGCGGCCCCTGCATGGAGCCCGTACCTTGTCAAGCACAAGACGAAGCTGGAAAAAGTTCAAAGGTATGCTTTGAACTTAGATATGCTAAGGTATGCTTAGAACAAAATTCTAAGAGGAATCGACAGGGTAGATAAAGATATTAACGCTGGTGGTACGCGAACAAGGGGACACAGGTGGAAACTGAGTACCCACATGAGCCACAGGGACGTTAGAAAAAACTTTTTTAGTGTCAGAGTAGTTAACAGACGGAATGCATTAGGCAGTGATGTGGTGGAGGCTGACTCCATACACAGTTTCAAATGTAGATATGATAGAGCCCAGTAGGCTCAGGAACCTGTACACCAGTTGATTGACGATTGAGAGGCGGGACCAAAGAGCTGAAGCTCAACCCCCGCAAGCACAACTAGGCAAGTACACATACACTTGGATCAAGGAAAATATATGCCCAATCTGTTAAGGCAAGAATACTTATCAGCGTAAAGTTTATACTAAGACAGTTGATGACAGAGCGAGATCCTGCCGTGGCGGGACGTCCTGTCAGTGATAGTGCCGACCGCGACGGTTGGCAGTAACAACGCAGCCGTGGCACTGTCTGGCACACCCGGGTAGTTACTGGTGCCAGTAGTGTTGTCTGGTCCAGTGGTGGAATTATTCTCAGGACCAGTGTCAAGTGTCCGGACCAGAGTCTTCACAAGTACTCGGACCATTGTTAAGACCAGTTCCAGGACCACATAGACCAGAGTCTTCACAAGTACTCGGACCATTGTTAACAGGACCACATAGACCAGAGTCTTCACAAGTACTCGGACCATTGCTAAGACCAGTTCCAGGACCACATAGACCAGAGTCTTCACAAGTACTCGGACCATTGTTAAGACCAGTTCCAGGACCACATAGACCAGAGTCTTCACAAGTACTCCGACCATTGTTAAGACCAGTTCCAGGACCACATAGACCAGAGTCTTCACAAGTACTCGGACCATTGTTAAGACCAGTTCCAGGACCACATAGACCAGAGTCTTCACAAGTACTCGGACCATTGTTAAGACCAGTTCCAGGACCATTGGGTGGACCAGACAGGAGCATGAGGGCGACCATCACACTACTGGTGGTGGTGGTGGTGGCGTCTCAGGAACCGTCTCCTGGTTAGTGGTGTCTTTGTATATCTATGTATACTCCCCGGAATGTTTTAACAGAGCAGGGTTAGCTCCTGGGCTCCGCCTTTCAGCTGGCGGTCGCATATTACAATGGCTCCCGACCCCCTTGTTTCATATCATACCTGCTCTTGGAGCTATATATCAAGTTATATCGTAATATCAAGTTATCATCAACTACTTCCGCAATCACCTCATTCCACTTGTTCACTGTTCATGCTGAACCCTTAGGTTCTGTTCACTGTTTATGCTGAACCCTTAGGTTCTGTTCACTGTTTATGCTGAACCCTTAGGTTTTGTTTCTGTTTATGCTGAACCCTTAGGTTCTGTTCACTGTTCATGCTGAACCCTTAGGTACTGTTCACTGTTCATGTTGAACCCTTAGGTACTGTTCACTGTTCATGCTGAACCCTTAGGAAATGTTCACTGCTCAATGCCTCAGCTGGCTGACGAGGAAACTGGTTGACTGGTTATATGTAATTTCATTACATATAATGTAATGGAATTGTTCTGTTTGAAAATTATCATGTTCTTGAATAGAAGGTCAAGTCCAAAGGTTAAGTCCAAAGAGACTGTGAGTTTGGCAACGTCCAAACAGTCTCTCTCTGTGGTTCAGTGCACAGTTAGTATACATCGGCCCTATGCACAGTTGGTATACACCGTCACTGTGCACAGTTGGTATACATCATCACTGTGCACAGTTGGTATACACCGGCACTGTGCACAGTTGGTATACATCGTCCCTGTGCACAGTTGGGATACATCGTCCCTGTGCACAGTTGGTATACATCGTCCCTGTGCACAGTTGGTATACATCGTCCCTGTGCACAGTTGGTATACACCGTCACTGTGCACAGTTGGTATACATCGTCCCTGTGCACAGTTGGTATACACCGTCACTGTGCACAGTTGGTATACATCGTCCCTGTGCACAGTTGGTATACATCGTCCCTGTGCACAGTTGGTATACATCGTCCCTGTGCACAGTTGGTATACATCGTCCCTGTGCACAGTTGGTATACATCGTCCCTGTGCACAGTTGGTATACATCGTCCCTGTGCACAGTTGGTATACATCGTCCCTGTGCACAGTTGGTATACATCGTCCCTGTGCACAGTTGGTATACATCGTCCCTGTGCACAGTTGGTATACACCGTCCCTGTGCACAGTTGGTATACATCGTCCCTGTGCACAGTTGGGATACATCGTCCCTGTGCACAGTTGGTATACATCGTCCCTGTACATAGTTGGTATACACCGTCCCTGTGCATAGTTGGTATACACCATCACTTTGCACAGTTGGGATACATCGTTCCTGTGCACAGTTGGTATACATCGTCCCTGTGCATAGTTGGTATACATCGTCCCTGTACACAGTTGGTATACATCGTCACTGTGCACAGTTGGTATACATCGTCACTGTGCACAGTTGGTATACATCGTCACTGTGCACAGTTGGTATACATCGTCCCTGTGCACAGTTGGTATACACCGTCACTGTGCACAGTTGGTATACACCGTCACTGTGCACAGTTGGTATACACCGTCACTGTGCACAGTTGGTATACACCGTCACTGTGCACAGTTGGTATACATCGTCCCTGTGCATAGTTGGTATACACTGTCCCTGTGCATAGTTGGTATACACCATCACTGTGCACAGCTGGTATACATCGTCCCTGTGCACAGTTGGTATACACCGTCACTGTGCACAGTTAGTATACATCGTCCCTGTGCACAGTTGGTATACACCGTCACTGTGCAATGTTGGGATACATCGTCCCTGTGCATAGTTGGGATATACCGTCACTGTGCACAGTTGGTATACATCGTCCCTGTGCACAGTTGGGATACACCGTCACTGTGCACAGTTGGTATACACCGTCACTGTGCACAGTTGGGATACATCGTCCCTGTGCACAGTTGGTATACATCGTCCCTGTGCACAGTTGGTATACATCGTCCCTGTGCATAGTTGGTATACACCGTCACTGTGCACAGTTGGGATACACCGTCACTGTGCACAGTTGGGATACATCGTCCCTGTGCACAGATGGGATACATCGTCCCTGTGCACAGTTGGTATACATCGTACCTGTGCACAGTTGGTATACACCGTCACTGTGCACAGTTGGGATACATCGTCCCTGTGCACAGTTGGTATACACCGTCACTGTGCACAGTTGGGATACATCGTCCCTGTGCACAGTTGGGATACACCGTCACTGTGCACAGTTGGGATACATCGTCCCTGTGCACAGTTGGTATACACCGTCACTGTGCACAGTTGGGATACATCGTCCCTGTGCACAGTTGGTATACACCGTCACTGTACACAGTTGGGATACATCGTCCCTGTGCACAGTTGGGATACACCGTCACTGTACACAGTTGGTATACACCGTCACTGTGCAATGTTGGGATACATCGTCCCTGTGCACAGTTGGTATACACCGTCACTGTGCACAGTTGGTATACATCGTCCCTGTGCACAATTGGTATACATCGTCCCTGTGCATAGTTGGTATACATCGTCCCTGTGCACAGTTGGTATACATCGTCCCTGTGCACAGTTGGTATACACCGTCACTGTGCACAGTTGGTATACATCGTCACTGTGCACAGTTGGTATACATCGTCCCTGTGCACAGTTGGTATACATCGTCCCTGTGCACAGTTGGGATACATCGTCCCTGTGCACAGTTGGTATACACCGTCCCTGTGCACAGTTGGTATACATCGTCCCTGTGCACAGTTGGTATACACCGTCCCTGTGCACAGTTGGGATACATCGTCCCTGTGCACAGTTGGTATACACCGTCACTGTGCACAGTTGGTATACACCGGCACTGTGCACAGTTGGTATACATCGTCCCTGTGCTCAGTTGGTATTAATAGATATACATGGTGTTTATGGAACAGGTATACATGGCGTATATTAAAAATATTCATGGTGCATATTGAATACTTATGCCCTTCTCTTCCCTTTATCCTTCTTAATCCTCCTCTCATCCCCTATATCCCTTTTTTCCTCTTTATCCTCCTATTGATTCTCCTTACTTTCCTATTTATCCTACCCTTTATTTTCCTTACTTCCCCTTTATCTTAACGTCTCACCATTATCCTCCCTTCCCACCTTTATCCTCCCTTCTACCACTCCTCTACTTAGCTCAGCTGTCTCTCCCACAGGTCAGCCTCCGTGCCAGGCCTATACCACCAATGATAATGAAGAAAAGATACCTGTACCAGAGGACCAGAAAGAGCTGGACTTGTGGTTCAGCTTTCAGGAACGTGAGTGTGAGGTGCACATCGCTGTTGTGACCACCAAGGGAGAACAGGCCACACCCTTGAAGGTTAACATCAAGCAGAGAACCCCCACACAGAAGAGCCATTTCTGGGGCAGCTCCAGTAGCCACGATGAGGACAATACCAGCTGGTGTAGAGTCCGGCTGACACAGGCAGTAAAGGTAGGTCAGTGTGACCTTCCCTCTCCTCTCTCTCACACCACCAGCGTCCCTACAGTCCTGGAGCCCCTTGGTCAACATTATCTTGCCTTAGTCATTATATATTTATATATACACAATATTGACCCTCGTAGAGACTTGTGAAGAGGTCACACTGAGTGAATGTTAGTAACTTGTTGTAATGTTGTTGCAGGGAGTGAACAACTCCAGACTAACAGCAGCGGGTCATTGCGGGGACAACAGTAAGGAAGAGGAGTACACACATGACGACGTGAGGGCATTGTTGTTGAAGACAAATGACAACATTAACTTCTATGTATGTCCTGTCCCACCACCCCCAGGTCAGTATAACACTGTGACAGACAAGTCCCACCACCCCCAGGTCAGTATAACACTGTGACAGCCAAGTCCCACCACCCCCAGGTCAGTATAACACTGTGACAGCCAAGTCCCACCACACCCAGGTCAGTATAACACTGTGACAGACAAGTCCCACCACCCCCAGGTCAGTATAACACTGTGACAGCCAAGTCCCACCACACCCAGGTCAGTATAACACTGTGACAGACAAGTCCCACCACCCCCAGGTCAGTATAACACTGTGACAGACAAGTCCCACCACCCCCAGGTCAGTATAACACTGTGACAGACAAGTCCCACCACCCCCAGGTCAGTATAACACTGTGACAGACAAGTCCCACCACACCCAGGTCAGTATAACACTGTAACAGTCAAGTACCACCACACCCTGGTCAGTATAACACTGTGACAGCCAAGTACCACCACACCCAGGTCAGTATAACACTGTGACAGACAAGTCCCACCACACCCAGGTCAGTATAACACTGTGACAGCCAAGTACCACCACACCCAGGTCAGTATAACACTGTAACAGACAAGTCCCACCACACCCAGGTCAGTATAACACTGTGACAGTCAAGTACCACCACACCCAGGTCAGTATAACACTGTGACAGCCAAGTCCCACCACACCCAGGTCAGTATAACACTGTGACAGCAAGTCCCACCACACCCAGGTCAGTATAACACTGTGACAGTCAAGTCCCACCACACCCAGGTCAGTATAACACTGTGACAGCCAAGTACCACCACACCCAGGTCAGTATAACACTGTGACAGACAAGTCCCACCACACCCAGGTCAGTATAACACTGTGAGAGCCAAGTCCCACCACACCCAGGTCAGTATAACACTGTGACAGCCAACTCCCACCACACCCAGGTCAGTATAACACTGTGAGAGCCAAGTCCCACCACACCCAGGTCAGTATAACACTGTGAGAGCCAAGTCCCACCACACCCAGGTCAGTATAACACTGTGACAGACAAGTCCCACCACACCCTGGTCAGTATAACACTGTGACAGACAAGTCCCACCACACCCTGGTCAGTATAACACTGTGACAGCCAAATGCATGTCAAAGATGAAGCAGCCAGCCAGTAAAGGGGCTGACCAGCCTCCACCTTCCCTCAGTACACGACAGACAGTTTTATTATTATTATTATTATTATTATTATTATTTTCTACCACAGACGTGGCCACACATTTACAATGCTAACCAGCATATATACATTTTCTTGTGTCCTCCATGGACAGGGTTAGAGAAGTGTTAAGCATAGAGTTCAAGGGTTTATTGAACACTCAACCACAGAAGGTGATTCGGTGCTTTTAAAATGCTAAGCTAACCTACATACGTAAATACATAGATACACAAATTTACGTATGGCCTACATAAAGTGTTAGATGTGGAGACGCCAGGCAGCTCCCACCACCCACCGATCACTGCTTATTACTCTGTGATCTTATACATGAAAGCCTAAACAGGGGTAGAGTCATTATGCATTTATACATTCGCTTACGAATCATTTACATTTTCAACAATCATGGCGGGTTTGTTTACATTTATTAAACACTTTATTGCTTCGAAACTTTACAATCTATGGTTATTATTGATGTAAATGTAAGCCGTCATGGTTGAGGAAAGATGAACAGGTTTCGTTATTGGTTGCATAAATGGTTGATTATTCTTGGGCCTGGCAGGACAGCAAGATCTTGTTTAAAACCATAATAAAATAGGTTGTGTTATCATGCTGGGTGTTAGGTGCTGGGAGCAGGATAGCGGATCCTGGAAAGTAGAGTATAAGGTAAAGGACATGTTGTAGTGGTGTGGTAGGCCAAAGTTACTATTCAGATTCCTCGTCTAAATTGTCTAAAAACCCTCGTCTAAAAACAAAATTAGTGTTTTTATCCCCCCTTAATTCAATATTAATTCAATTCAATATTATGTGAATAGTATCCTGTTTTCTATAACAATCTATATTTTGTGATGGCTATAATATATATTGTTTCAGTGTACTCGGGAGTGATTAAAATATCCATTTTATTCCTAATTCTCCTGTAATTTCTGTAATATTCAAATATGAAGAATATAATATAATTTCTTTACTCTGATAATGTATTAAATTTGCTTGTAATAATTTTATGTAGCCAGAGATAACTAGTCTTGATGAACTTAGCAAGCAGGCAAATATGTTTATGTTAATGGTGTAATTAACATTTCGAACATATTCAGTCTGCCCGACAGGAGCTCCGACGAATCGGGGTAACTCCCACTCTGAAGAAACACCTAAGTGTAACCCCCAACAGTGTCGCACAGTTTGTCCTGACCTGCCACCTGAGTCAGACATCCCAAATTGTTCCACAGCTTGCCCTGACCAACAGCAGCAGCAGCAGCAGCAGCAGCAGGGGGCCACGGTGGTGCTGGGCGTCCTGCTGGGCGTCTGTCTGCTGGCCTGTGTGGCCCTCGCTACTGCTCACTGCTACAACAAAGGTGATCTCCTCTACTCTTGTCTGCCTGTCTGTCTGTCTGTCTGTCTCTGCCTGTCTCTCTAACTGATGGTTTGTCTGACTTCAGGGTGAATGGTTGCACACCACAGCATATCAGATAACACATCCGTCACACACCACGACACAACCGTAACACACAACGACACATCCATAGCACACCATGACACATCTGTAAAACACCATGACACATCCGTAACACACCATGACACATCCGTAGCACACCATGACACATCTGTAAAACACCATGACACATCCGTAACACACCATGACACATCCGTAACACATCATGACACATCCGTAACACACCATAACACATCCGTAACACACCATGACACATCCATAACACACCATGACACATCCGTAACACACCATGACACATCCGTAACACACCATGACACATCCGTAACACACCATGACACATCCGTAACACACCATAACACATCCGTAACACACCATGACACATCCGTAACACACCATGACACATCCATAACACACCATGACACATCCGTAACACACCATGACACATCCGTAACACACCATAACACATCCGTAACACACCATGACACATCCATAACACACCATGACACATCCGTAACACACCATGACACATTCGTAACACACCATGACACATCCGTAACACACCATGACACATCCGTAACACACCATGACACATCCATAACACACCATGACACATCCGTAACAAACCACGACACATCCGTAACAAACCACGACACATCCGTAACACATCATGACACATCCGTAACACAATGTGACACATCTGTAACACACCATGACATCCGTAACACACCATGACACATCTGTAACACACCATAACACATCCGTAGCACACCATGACACATCCGTAACACATCATGACACATCCGTAACACAATGTGACACATCTGTACCACATCATGACATCCGTAACACACCATGACACATCCGTAACACATCATGACACATCCCTAACACAATGTGACACATCTGTAACACACCATGACATCCGTAACACACCATGACACAACCGTAACACACCATGACACATCCGTAACAAACCACGACACATCCGTAACACAATATGACACATCCGTAACACACCATAACACATCCGTTACACACCACGACACACCCGTCACACTCCACGACACATCCGTAGCACACCATGACATCCGTAACACCCCATGACACATCCGTAACACACCATGACACATCCGTAACACACCATAACACATCCGTAACACACCATGACACATCCGTAACACACCATGACACATCCATAACACACCATGACACATCCGTAACACACCATGACACATCCGTAACACACCATAACACATCCGTAACACACCATGACACATCCGTAACACACCATGACACATCCGTAACACACCATAACACATCCGTAACACACCATGACACATCCGTAACACACCATGACACATCCATAACACACCATGACACATCCGTAACAAACCACGACACATCCGTAACAAACCACGACACATCCGTAACACAATATGACACATCCGTAACACACCATAACACATCCGTAACACACCACAACACATCCGTAACACCCCATGACACATCCGTAACACACCATGACACATCTATGACACATCTGTAACACACCATGACACATCTGTAACACCCCATGACACATCTGTAACACCCCATGACACATCTGTAACACACCATGACACATCCGTAACACACCATGACAGATCTGTAACACACCATGACACATCCGTAACACACCATGACACATCCGTAACACACCATGACACATCCGTAACAAAACCACGACACATCCGTAACACACCATGACACATCCGTAACACACCACGACACATCGGTAACACATCATGACACATCCGTAACAAACCACGACACCTCCGTAACACACCATAACACATCCGTAACACACCACGACACATCCGTAACACAATATGACACATCCGTAACACACCATGACACACCACGACACATCCGTAACACACCATGACACATCTGTAACACACCACGACACATCCGTAACACACCATGACACATCCGTAACACACCACGACACATCCGTCACACACCACGACAAATCCGTCACACACCATAACACATCCGTAACACACCACGACACATCCGTAACACACCACGACACATCCGTAACACATCATGACACTTTCCTAACACATCACGACACATCCGTAACACACCACGACTCATCCGTAACACATCACGACACATCCGTAACACACCACGACTCATCCGTAACACATCACGACACATCCGTAACACACCACGGCACATCCGTCACACACCATAACACATCCGTAACACGTCCCTCTTCCCTTTATTTCCAGCTTCCTTCAGAGACATGATGGCTCGGTCACCCTTCCAGTTGAGCACCAGCAAGCAGTTCCTTTGGCCATCACGAGGCACTAACAATCAGAGTGCCAATCAGGATGCCACTCAGGGTGCCAATCGGGATGCCACTCAGGGTGCCAATCAGGGTGCCAATCAGGATGCCAATCAGGGTGCCAACCACGATGCCAATCAGGGTGCCACTCAGGATGCCACTCAGGGTGCCAATCAGGGTGCCAGGCCTGGAGGTCGGGCCTCGGCACACGACAGCGAGAACAGCCTCTACGGTGCCACCATCGATCGTCAGTGACGCTGTTGGAGATGAAGAGGGAACGATTGTTTGTGGGCCCCTCCCCCCCTCACTGTAGGTTGGTGAGGGGCCCTCACTCTCACTGTAGGATGGTGAGGGGCCCTCCCCCTCACTGTAGGATGGTGAGGGGCCCTCCCCCCTCACTATAGGATGGTGAGGGGCCCTCCTCCCTCACTGTAGGATGGTGAGGGCCCCTCCCCCCTCACTGTAGGACGGTGAGGGCCCCTCTCCCCCTCACTGTAGGTTGGTGAGGGGCCCTCCCCCTCACTGTAGGTTGGTGAGGGGCCCTCCCCTCACTGTAGGTTGGTGAGGGGCCCTCCCCCTCACTGTAGGATGGTGAGGGCCCCTCCCCCCTCACTGTAGGATGGTGAGGGCCCCTCCCCTCCCTCACTGTAGGTTGGTGAGGGGCCCTCCCCTCACTGTAGGTTGGTGAGGGGCCCTCCCCCTCACTGTAGGATGGTGAGGGGCCCTCCCCCCTCACTATAGGATGGTGAGGGGCCCTCCTCCCTCACTGTAGGATGGTGAGGGCCCCTCCCCCCTCACTGTAGGACGGTGAGGGCCCCTCCCCCCCTCACTGTAGGTTGGTGAGGGGCCCTCCCCCTCACTGTAGGTTGGTGAGGGGCCCTCCCCTCACTGTAGGTTGGTGAGGGGCCCTCCCCCTCACTGTAGGATGGTGAGGGCCCCTCCCCCCTCACTGTAGGATGGTGAGGGCCCCTCCCCTCCCTCACTGTAGGTTGGTGAGGGGCCCTCCCCTCACTGTAGGTTGGTGAGGGGCCCTCCCCCTCACTGTAGGATGGTGAGGGGCCCTCCCCCGTCACTGTAGGATGGCGAGGGGCCCTCCCACCCACTGTAGGATGGTGAGGGGCCCTCCCCCTCACTGTAGGATGGTGAGGGGCCCTCCCCCTCACTGTAGGATGGTGAGGGCCCCTCCCCTCCCTCACTGTAGGTTGGTGAGGGGCCCTCCCCCTCACTGTAGGATGGTGAGGGGCTCTCCCCCTCACTGTAGGATGGTGAGGGCCCCTCCCCCCTCACTGTAGGATGGTGAGGGCCCCTCCCCTCCCTCACTGTAGGATGGTGAGGGGCCCTCCCCCTCACTGTAGGATGGTGAGGGGCTCTCCCCCTCACTGTAGGATGGTGAGGGCCCCTCCCCCCTCACTGTAGGATGTTGAGGGCCCCTCCCCTCCCTCACTGTAGGATGGTGAGGGGCCCTCCCCCTCACTGTAGGATGGTGAGGGCCCCTCCCCCCTCACTGTAGGATGGTGAGGGCCCCTCCCCTCCTTCACTGTAGGTTGGTGAGGGGCCCTCCCCCTCACTGTAGGTTGGTGAGGGGCCCTCCCCTCACTGTAGGATGGTGAGGGGCCCTCCCCCTCACTGTAGGTTGGTGAGGGGCCCTCCCCCTCACTGTAGGATGGTGAGGGGCCCTCCCCCGTCACTGTAGGATGGCGAGGGGCCCTCCCCCCACTGTTGGATGGTGAGGGGCCCTCCCCCTCACTGTAGGATGGTGAGGGGCCCACCCCCTCACTGTAGGTTGGTGAGGGGCCCTCCCCCCTCACTGTAGGATGGTGAGGGGCCCTCCCCGTCACTGTAGGATGGCGAGGGGCCCTCCCCCTCACTGTAGGATGGTGAGGGGCCCTCCCCCTCACTGTAGGATGGCGAGGGGCCCTCCCTCTCACTGTAGATTAGTGAGGGCCCTCCCCTCTCACTGTAGATTAGTGAGGGCCCTCCCTCATCACTATAGATGAGTGAGGGCCCTCCCTCATCACTGTAAATTAGTGAGGGCCCTCCCTCATCACTGTAGATTAATGAGGGCCCTCCCTCATCACTGTAGATTAATGAGGGCCCTCCCTCATCACTGTAGATTAGTGAGGGCCCTCCCTCTCACTGTAGATTAGTGAGGGCCCTCCCTCTCACTGTAGATTAGTGAGGGCCCTCCCTCATCACTGTAGATTAGTGAGGGCCCTCCCTCATCACTGTAGATTAGTGAGGGCCCTCCCTCATCACTATAGATTAGTGAGGGCCCTCCCTCATCACTGTAGATTAGTGAGGGCCCTTCCTCATCACTGTAGATTAGTGAGGGCCCTCCCTCATCACTGTAGATTAGATTAGTGAGGGCCCTCCCTCATCACTGTAGATTAGTGAGGGCCCTCCCTCATCACTGTAGATTAGTGAGGGCCCTTCCTCATCACTGTAGATTAGTGAGGGCCCTCCCTCATCACTGTAGATTAGTGAGGGCCCTCCCTCATCACTGTAGATTAGTGAGGGCCCTCCCTCATCACTGTAGATTAGTGAGGGCCCTCCCTCATCACTGTAGATTAGTGAGGCCACTTGTCAACACTTTCTAAGAATAAGGACACTTATCAACACTTTATATTAGTAAGAGCATAGTATTCATCACGCTTTTACCCATCACCTTACGAAACCTGTACATCTTACACCCATCATGCCGGCCTTGTTTACATATACTGCACAGTTTACGAGTCTCAACACTTCACAACCCAAGGTTATTGTTGTTATAAACAACCTCGTGGCGCCACCGAGCTCATATATTGTTTAATAAATGTAAACAAGGCCGCCATGATTGTGGAAAGATGGACAGGTTTCGCTGGTGGGTGAATCCTGCTCCAGAATTCTTTGAAAATATTAAGTTTGTTTTTATTGTGATATAATTCATTGATTGTAACTGTAGCATGATATTTAATATTAATAAAGATTGCTTTATTGTTGCTTGTCTGTTGCCTTGATGGACACGTTCGTGTTGACGGACACGTTCGTGTAGACGGACACGTTCGTGTAGACGGACACGTTCGTGTAGACGGACATATGATGTGTTGTGAACTTTACATTAGGATGTGTTCCCTTCCTGTTGGGATAATGTTATCACGACATGCGCGCGCGCGCGCACACGCGCACACGCACACGCACACACACACACACACACACACGCACACACATACACACACACACACACACACCTCGTAGCCTGGTGGATAGCGCGCAGGACTCGTAATTCTGTGGCGCGGGTTCGATTCCCGCACGAGGCAGAAACAAATGGGCAAAGTTTCTTTCACCCTAAGTGCCCCTGTTACCTAGCAGTAAATAGGTACCTGGGAGTTAGTCAGCTGTCACGGGCTGCTTCCTGGGGTGGGTGTGTGTGTGTGTGTGTGGTGTGGGGAAAAAAAAAAAAGTAGTTAGTAAACAGTTGATTGACAGTTGAGAGGCGGGCCGAAAGAGCAAAGCTCAACCCCCGCAAAACACAACTAGTAAACACACACACATACACACACACACACACACACACACACACACACACACACACACACACACACACACACATACACACACACACACACACACCATGGTTTAATCAGAGATGTAAGCTAGCTAAGGAGCTAAGTACAAGGGCGAGGGTAACTAGAGAAATAAGAGGACGCTAGAGAGCAGAGAAGGATACCAAAGTGCCAGGAATGAATAAGTTAGGGTGAGAAGAGAGACAGTTGCACTAACGTCCCACATAATAAAAGTATTTGAGAGAGTGATCAGGAGTCAGGTCACTAGATTCATGGAAACCAATGACCTCCACAACCCAGGCCAACATGGATTTAGAGCAGGAAGATCATGCCTCTCACAGCTACTTGACCATTATGACAAAATCACTGAGACATTAGAAGAAAAACATAATGCAGATGTTGTATACACAGATTTTGCAAAGGCATTCGATAAATGTGACCATGGAGTGATTGCACACAAAATGAGGTCATTGGGTATAACTGATAAAGTAGGGCGCTGGATACTCAATTTCCTGTCGAACAGAACACAGAGTAACAGTCAATCAAGTAAAATCGAGTCCAAGCGCAGTTAAAAGCTCTGTACCTCAAGGTACAGTCCTTGCACCACTGCTGTTCCTTATTCTCATATCAGATGTAGACAAAAATACAAGTCACACCTTCGTGTCATCCTTTGCAGATGATACAAAAATCAGCATAAAAATTACCTCTGCTAAAGACATTGAAAAACTACAAACAGACGTTAACAACGTTTTCGATTGGGCAGCAGAAAATAACATGATATTTAACGGTGATAAATTCCAGGTACTCAGATACGGCAAAAATGAGGATCTGAAACATAATACAGGGTAAAAACACAATCGAATATGCCCATAGTAGGAAAACAGCATGTCAAGGATCTGGGAATAATGATGTCCGACGACCTAACGTTTAGGGAGCATAACCAAGCAAATATTGCGACAGCCAGAAAAATAATAAGATGGATTACGAGAACCTTCAATTCCAGAGATCCCATCACAATGGTTGTACTCTTCAAGTCACTTGTGTTGTTCCGTCTTGAGTACTGCTCAGTACTCACTTCCCCCTTCAGAGAAGGAGAGATTGCTGAAATAGAGAGAATACAGAGAACATATACGGCACGCATAGACGAGATAAAGCACCTAAATTATTGGTATCGTCTCAAAGCTCTCCAAATGTACTTCCTAGAAAGGAGACGAGATACCAAATAATATACACATGGAAAATACTGGAGGGACAGGTCCCAAATCTGCACAGTAAAATAACACCTTGCTGGAGTGAACGATATGGAAGAAAATGCAGAATAGAACCAGTGAAGAGCAGAGGTGCCATAGGCACAATCAGAGAACACTGTATAAACATCAGAGGTCCGCGGTTGTTCAACACCCTTCCAGCGAGCATAAGAAATATTGCCGGAACAACCGTGGACATCTTCAAGAGAAAACTAGATTGTTTTCTTCAAGAAGTGCCGGACCAACCGGTCTGTGATTGGTATGTGGGCCTGCGAGCCGCTGCAAGCAACAGCCTGGTGGACCAAACTCTCACAAGTCAAGCCTGGAACTCGGGCCGGGCTTGGGGAGTAGAAGAACTCCCAGAACCCCATCAAGCAGGTATCAAGCAAAAGGGCAAAATGAAAATGACATATCATGCACATATCATGCATATCATGCAAGGCAAAGACTCAACCTAAATTGCTGCACAGCCACATCAGGAGGAAAACAACAGTGAAGGAACAAGGTAATGAATCTGAGGATAGGGGCAGAAGGATTCACTACAAACGAAAAGGAAGTGTGTGAGGAACTCGATAAGAAATATCAGGAGCGAAAGAACCTTGTAACACAACATCAGAATGACTTGTCATCATTCAGGGATGACAAGTCATTCCTCACAGGAGTAATTGAATTCTACGACCAGGCAACAAAAATCAGGCAAGAAAGAGCAGGGTAGGCAGACTGCATATTTTTGGATTGCAAGAAACCCTTCGACACAGTACCACACGAGAGACTAGTGCACAAGTTGGAGATGCAGGCAGAAATAAAAGGGAAAGTACTCCGTTGGATAAGGGAGTAGCTAAGCAACAGAAGACAGCGAGTCACTGTGAGGGGTGAGGTCTCAGATTGGCGGGACTTCACCAGTGGGGTCCCACAGGGTTCAGTCCTTAGACCTATACTATTTCTGATATATGTAAATGATCTCTCAGAGGGAATAGACTCGTTGCTCTCATTGTTTGATGATGAAGTCAAAATTATGAGGAGTAAGACAGAGGAAGACAGCGTGAGGCTACAAGATGACCTAGACAGACTGCATGAATGGTTCAACAAATGGCTACTACAGTTCAACCCGAGTAAATGTAAGGTAATGAAACTAGGCAGTGGAAACAGGAGGCCAGACACTGGATACAGAATGGGAGATGAAGTCCTTCATGAAATGGACAGAGAGAAAGATCCAGAAGTTATCACACCAAACCTGTCTCCTGAAGCCCACATAAAAAGAATAACATCTGCGGCATATGCGAGGCTGGCTAACATCAGAACAGCCTTCAGGAACGTGTGTAAGGAACCATTCAGAATCTTGTACACCACATATGTAAGACCAATCCTGGAGTATGCGGCCCCAGCATGGAGCCCGTACCTTGTCAAGCACAAGACGAAGCTGGAAAAAGTTCAGAGGGATGCCACTAGGCTAGTCCCAGAACTAAGAGGCATTAGACACATTTTTTTTATTTATCAGGGGGAAAGCGCCAAGCCATTACGAGTTTATAGCACTGGGAAGGGGTCAGGATAAGGATTTGGGATAGGACGAGGGGAAAGGAATGCTGCCCAACTACTTGGACGGTCGGGGATTGAACGCCGACCTGCATGACGCGAGACCGTTGCTCTAATCTTCTTGTTTGAGGAGCTGTTCACTTGAGACAGTTAAGCAAGTCCCAGCTGTGTCTGGGTACAAGTGATAGGAAGAACAACCCAGCGGGTTTTCTTCCTATTGGGGAGTGTTGTACATTCTGCTATGGCGGTATGTTCACTCATAAGATGAGTGGCGCTGCCCAATAAACTCGCCCCTCGGGGCAAAATTTAAAAAAATAACCGTTGCTCTACCGTCTACTCAAAGTGGCTGGGTGTTAGTTACGAAGAAAGGCTGAATGAAATGCACCCAACGTGTATTTGTTTTGCATAACAGCTCAATAAGAATGTTCCCCCCCCCTCCTCCAAGTGCTATATAGTCGTAATGGCTTGGCACTTTCTTCTGATAATTAAATTTCCTTCCCTTCCCCCTTCCATCTCCATGACAGCCACGACAAATTCAAAATGAATTGAGCATGATAGAAATGATATTTTTATTGGCTTGTCCTAAAATGTTGCATAGTACAAGTTTTTTTTTAAGTTTTGGGGGTTTAGAAATATATTTGTGATGATTTGATGATTTCAGTTAAATTTGACCTTTAAATCCAAGCTGGTCGCCGATATTTAGTTGGGAACATGTGATTTTTTGAAATTGTAACACAGCTTTCATACGAGATTTAAATCACAGCGCTGTTTGTGTAGAGCTGAATTATGAACAGTAAAAATACAACAGAATTTGTCTCGTAAGACAAAAGGTTCCATTTTGACGTTAATGGCACACAAACAGTAGCTCTCAACGGCCACACAAGTACTAGAAAACACTGAAGAAAACCGGTACATTACGCTCGAACATTGTGCTTTCCTTAATATAAAGTTTAAATTATTTAACATAAATAACTTCCAAACAAGACACATCCAGCGAGGAAGGAACCTTCCTTCGCAACGGTCACACA